TTTCTCCCTGATGAATTTCATGTTGTTAGTTTTGCATCTATTGCTTGTGAATTGTTTTGGGCATCTAATTGTGCCCCCACTGTAAGCCGCCCTGAGTCCCCCCCGGGGTGAGAAGGGCGGGGTATAAGTAAATGAAATAAATAAATAAATAAATCTAACCATTCCAAGTGCACACTCTGCCTAATGATTAGGGTCCCCAGATTCCATATCCCCCAATGGCTCCAAGAGTACATCCAAACAAGATGGAAAATGCACACCTTCCTGGATTTTTAGATGGAGCAGCCAAACGAGGCCTCACCTAAAAATGCATTACTTTGCCACATAGCAGGACCTGCTTAATGGCAAATTAATTTGATACTGGATTAGACCCAAGTATTCCTGGAAGAGTATGGCCGATGTCTGGAAAATCGCTCCTTGCCCCTTTCTCCTGGTGTGTCATTTCTACATACCAGGAGAGGGCTGGCAGCAGAGAAATGCTGGTCAGATAAGTAATGTTTACTTTTTAAGGCTTTTCGTGGGGGGGAGGGGGGTTGCTGGTGGCAGGGCATCTGTAGCAAATGTGTTGATCTATGTTAAATTTTTGTTGTATAGCTCTATGTCGCTATGTGTCAGAATTGGCAGAAATAGGGTAGCAACAGTAGAGGCAAGATAAATTTGCATACATGCAGCCGATTGATCGTATGCAGATGAGTGTAGGCCAGGATTTGAAAGGGCCACTGAGCCAGAATGGCAGTTAGAGAGTCAGAATGAGTCAGTTAGGGATTCCTGTTTGTGAAGGACAGTTAGGAACTTCTGTGAGAGAAAAGCAGTTAGAAAAATGGAGCTTAAGTTTTAAGGAAAATAAAGAAGTGCCAGAGTGGTTTAAGGCAAAATATAGTTCTGTCAAGAGTGTATGAAAAAGTAACATAGTTGTTGATGTGAAACAGTTGAAGTTTGATAGGAAAGTTAACTAAGTGAATGATATTGTTTCTTTGCGGCCACTTGCAAAGAAAAGTTTCTTTGCGGCCACTATTGCGTCTGCAATAAACCGTCCGGCGGAGTTGTTCCGGATTGTCAGAGGTCTTTTAACTCCCGCCACCTCAGGCGGGAGCCCTGACAACTCGGTCACGCGCTGCGAAGCATTTGCTCGGTTTTTTGCAGACAAAGTCGCTTTGATCCGTTCTGGGCTGGACACCATGTTAAATGCAGTCTCTGAGGATGTGACACGAGCACCTGCTTGTCCTATTTTGATGGATTCTTTTCAGTTTGTGAAGCCCGAGGATGTGGACAAGATACTTGGAGGAATGAGGCCCACCACGTCCATCCTAGACCCCTGCCCATCCTGGCTTCTGAAGGAGGCCAGAGGGGGATTGGCTGAGTGGGTAACGGTGGTGGTCAGTGCCTCCCTTCGGGAAGGCAAGATTCCAGCGAGCCTAAAACAGGCTATTATAAAACCGCTGTTGAAGAAACCATCACTGGACCCCACTAAATTGGACAACTTTCGGCCTGTTTCCAATCTTCCCTTTTTGGGCAAAGTCATGGAAAGCGTGGTGGCCTCACAACTCCAGGTATTCTTGAGAGACACGGATTATCTGGATCCGGCACAGTCTGGTTTCAGACCGGGACATGGAACCGAGACGGTCTTGGTCGCCTTAGTGGATGATCTGCGCCGGGAGCTAGACAGGGGGAGTGTGTCCCTGTTGGTGCTCCTGGACCTCTCAGCGGCCTTCGATACCGTCGACCACGGTATCCTTCTGGGGCGCCTTGCGGAAATGGGTCTTGGGGGCACTGCTCTGCAGTGGCTCCAGTCATTTCTGGAGGGCCGCACCCAGAAGGTGTTATTGGGGGACTCCTGTTCAACACCACAGCCTTTGACCTGTGGGGTTCCACAGGGCTCTATACTGTCCCCCATGCTGTTTAATATCTACATGAAGCCGCTGGCTGAGATCATCCGGAGTTTCGGGGTGCGGTGTCATCTGTACGCAGATGATGTCCAACTCTGTCACTCCTTTCCACCTGCTACTAAGGAGGCTGTCGAGGTTCTGAACCGGTGCCTGGCCGCTGTAATGGTCTGGATGAGGGCGAACAAACTGAAATTAAATCCAGACAAGACAGAGGTACTCCTGGTCAGTCGCAAGGCCGAACAGGGTATAGGGTTACAGCCTGTGCTGGATGGGGTCGCACTCCCCTTGAAGGCGCAGGTTCGCAGCTTGGGTGTGACCCTGGATTCATCATTGAGCCTGGATCCCCAGGTTCAGCGGTGACCAGGGGAGCATTTGCACAGCTTAGGCTCGTGCGCCAGCTGCGCCCGTACCTTGGGAAGTCTGACTTGGCCATGGTAGTACACGCTCTGGTACATCCCGCCTTGACTACTGCAACGCTCTCTACGTGGGGCTGCCCTTAAAGACGGCCCGGAAACTTCAGCTAGTTCAGCGCGCGGCAGCCATGTTACTAACAGGAGCGGGACGCAGGGAGCATACAACGCCCTTGCTGTTCCAGCTCCACTGGCTGCCGATTTGCTACCGGGCCCAATTTAAGGTGCTGGTGCTATCCTACAAAGCCCTAAACGGTTCCGGCCCAAAATACCTTTCGGACCGCATCTTGGCCTATGAGCCCACGAGGACCTTGAGATCGTCTGGGGAGGCCCTTCTCTCGATCCCGCCTGCTTCACAGGCACGTATGGCGGGGACGAGAGAGAGGGCCTTCTCGGTGGTGGCCCCCCGGCTGTGGAACGCCCTCCCTGCTGACATCAGACAGGCGCCCTCCCTTCTGTCCTTCCGTAAGAGCCTGAAGACCTGGCTATTTGAGAAGGCATTCAACTGAGCGCTACGGCAACTGGTAATTGACAACTGGAACGGAATACGGATTACGATATTGGTTATGATTCTATGATGTGACGGAGCGGATTATTTAGTGTAACTAGATTATAGTGTATTATTGTTGTATTGATTCCCTGTTTTGCCCTTTTTGTAAACTGTTTTTATATGTTGTGCACCGCCGCGAGTCGCCCTAGGGCTGAGAGCGGCGGTCAATAAATGCAGTAAATAAATAAATAAATAAATAAATATTGAATGTAAGACTCAAGACTGTAACAGAACAAACAAATGTAACCATAAGCGTTGGAGCCAGAAGCTCGTTTACTACAAGAGTGTCTCAAGCCTGTAATATAAAAGCCTCAACATAAAAGCTCACAAGACAGCCCTAGCCAATTTAAAAAGGGGAAATACATCAATACAAGCCAGTAAAAAGATTTAAAAGAAAATATTTTTCCCCTCACATTGTCACCCGTAAAAAGGCATCTGTGAAAGGACTGAAGTAGTGAAAAGATGTCCCACCCCCTTCCCAGAAAAACACAGATTAGAGTCTTGTCTTAACCCGACTAGGCAAGAATTAAACTCCTGCCAGGAAGTGCCCCAACATGGCAGGGTTAATCCCAATTATTAATCTATTGTCCCTTTTTCCCAACTGCTTTCAAAATGCCCAAGTCTCTCTTTACTCCTACTCTCATCCTTTATCCCCAGCTTACTTCATTTGATACAAAGAGACTTCAAAACACAAAAGTAATTTGGACACCAATAATTTGCAGGTTCGAATCCAGGGAGAGCATGGATGAGCTCCGTCTGTCAGCTCCAGCTCCCCATGTGGGGGCATGAGAGAAGCCTCCCACAAAGGATGGTAAAACATCAAAACATCCTCTCGTCCCCTGGGCAACGTCCTTGCAGATGGCCAATTCTCTCACATCAGAAGCAACTTGAAACTTCTCAAGTCGCTCCGGACATGAAAAAAACAAAACAATAACAGAACAGGAGAACAGAAAAAGAAGGGTTTTATACTTGTCTTCCCTGTAGGCTCAAGCAAAAGCAAACTACACTAATCTCTCCCCATTCCCTCTTTAATAACATCTACTTCCTTGATCATGCTGTGATAATGCTTGTTCATGTATGACCTCATTTTCGGCAGTGAAATGCAGGAGGGTATGAGGTCTCACAGCCAACACTCCTTGGTAATCCTTGGTCAAGGGGTGAAGAATCTCAGGGTGAGAGCACTGTCGTGTATTGGGTTGTTGTAGGTTTTTTGGGCTGTATGGCCATGTTCTAGAAGCATTCTCTCCTGGTGTTTCACCTGCATCTGTGGCAAGCATCCTCCGAGGTTGTGAGGTTTGTGGAAACAAGGAAGATTGGGTTTCCTAGTTTCTACAAACCCCACAACCTCTGAGGATGCTTGCCACAGATGCAGTCAAAGCCTCATGAGAGAATGCTTCTAGAACATGGCCATACAGCTCAAAAAAACCTACAACAACCCAGTGATTCCGGCCATGAAAGCCTTCGACGATATGTGTATTTACTCTTGTCTGTTCGATGAAATAACAAGGACCCAGGTTTTGATACTATGAATGGTCATCCCAAACTTTTCTGTCCTTGATATCCACTTGGATTTTCTCTCTTAAATCTCAGGGTCTGGGATAGCTGACTTTGCTAATGATAGAACTAGCTCAGCTTTCAAATGATTAACAATATATACAAAGTGCTGAAAACCTCAGTAAACTTGTGGTTTCCAAACTTCTGACAAGAAGTCATACATTAAAACAAATGAAAAAATACTTAGACCTGAGACTTTATTTTTAAAAGGGTTTCAACCAACTCATTTTCCTCTAACAAATATTAGAAAATGTGCCCCTGTGTAAACCAAGGTGATGTGTCTCAAACGCACAATGAACCACAAGACAATGTTTACACTGGCATCTTACGAAAGCAAACATCCTTGGATGTAAACCGTGCAGTAGGACCACAGTTTGTTGACATGTTTTTCCCCCAAATACACGCTGAATTCTGACCTTGGGTATTTTCCACTCTGGTTTCTCTTACTTATCTGCAAAACAAGTCTCAGTGAACTACGATATTCTTTTTTTTTTTTAAATCACTGCTTATCTGGATATCCTTTCTATTGCTTTACAGCAATTATTGTAATCCATAAAGATAAGCTTTTAAATACCTTCTCAAGATGCAACAAGGTGTATCTTGTTCTACTCGCTCAGTTGTCACAAACAAGTGTCTGGTATACGACTCTATCGCTACGGTCTTCTGTCCTTTTCTGTGGCCAGATCTCACACACCAAAATGTCACAAGAGGAGGATGATCTCATACATACTTTCAACGGGATCAGTTTTACCACCAGATCATCTCCAGAGCTTTTGAAGTCCTTGGTAACATTTGATGCTAGAGAAGATGATGTGCTGTTGGTTTCCTACCCAAAGTCTGGTAAAGTCTTGCTTGAAATTTGTACAGAGGGGACATCTAATGGACATCTTATTATTCTAGACTCAGCTCACTAAAGTAGAAAATGTTGCATTTTGTAATTGGTGTGTGTTATTTTAAGTTAATTTCTTGTCTTTCTCCCATCATGGGACCCAAAGTGTCTTATAACTTTCACATTTTGCTATTCCAAGCTTAATCAATGAAAGTAATATATATATATAGCATAGAGAAAAGGGGAAGGAGTTTTGGAAAGCTCTGACATTCACAATTTGAAGGCTGTAAAACAATGTTTCTCAACCTGGGGGGAGGGCACGAGGGAGGTATCAGAAGGGTTTCCAAGACCATCAGAAAACACAGTATTTTCTCTTGGTCATAGGGGTACTGTGTGGGAAGTTTGGCCCAATTCTATCATTTTTCAGAATGCTCTTTGATTGTAGGTGAACTATATATCCCAGCAACTACAACTACCAAATGTCAAGGTCTATTTTCTCCAAACTCCACCAGTGTTCACATTTGGGTATATTGAGTATTCGTGCCAAGTTTGGTCCAGATCCATCATTGTTTGAATCCACAGTGATCTCTGGATGTAGTTGAACTACAACTCCAAAATTCAAGGTCAATGCCCACACACTCTTCCGGTATTTTCTGTTGATCATGGGAGTTCTGTGTGCCAAGTTTGGTTCAATTCCATCGTTGGTGGATTTCAGAATGTTCTCTGATTGTAGGTGAACTATAATTCCCAGCAACTGCAACTCCCAAATGATAAAAATCAACCTCCCCCCCCCCCACCCCAGGATTATTCAGATTTGGGCATTTCAGGTATTTGTGTGGTCCAGTGAATGAAAATACATCCTGTATATCAGATATTTACATTATGATTCATATCAGTAGCACAATTACAGTTATGAAGTAGCAACAAAAAGAATGTTATGGTTGGAGGTCACCACAACATGAGGAACTGTATTAAGGGATTGCGGCATTAGGAAAGTTGGGAAACACTGCTGTAAAATGTTGTCATCTCCAGAAGAACTGATGCAATTCCAACATAAATCTGGAGGGAGCTTTAAAATTCCTGTGGCACAAAATCGTTTGTGTCTCTCTTCCCTTCAAATGACAAATGCCATATTTATTCTAAGCTAGAGAAAATGATTATTTAAATCATTGGGGGATAAAGCAAAGTTGCTGTTGCATACCTTTCAAATCAGTGGTGACTTATGGTTATTTTGTTTGTGCTGTGATTTTTTTCAGACAAAGCTCGCCTTTACTGTTCTCTCAGGATGAGAAAATGTGAGACTTGTCTAGGTCCATCCTGCTGATTTCCATGGCAGGGATTCCAATCATGATCTTCCGGTGTCTGGCTCAAATTCCTATACTACACTGACTTGTTGAAAACATTTAGGATCTCTTTAGTTGGCAAGGATAAGAGGGGTAGGGTAACATAACAAAGCTGTCAAACATTTTGCGCAGTATGGTCAAAGTACATAGAGAGATAATGCTAGAACGGAGATAACACAAGGACCCTTGGCCATTCAGTGAAACTGAAGGATGGTAAATTCAGGAAAAAGGGAAAGAAGGGGTTCTTCATGTGGCACATAGTCGGATTGTGGGATTTGCTATCACAAAATGTCATGGTAAGCATTGAAACTTGGCAAGCTTTCAAAAACTAGGACCAATAGATAAGACTATCATTGACTACTAGTCATAACGGTAATGTATTTACGAGTTTTAGTTGCTGGGAAACATGAATGAGAGGCTGCTATTGTGTCCATGTCTTTGCTGTGGTCTTTTCATAGCCATCTACTGCTGGAAAAGGATTATACTGGTCTTTGATTTGCCCCCTTCATAGCCATTCTGGAAGCTGTATTTCTGAAAAGTAAAAATTTCAAGCTCTGACTAAACTATTCCACTTCAAGCTGGAGAAGCTCGTGCAATTCAATGGTCAATATATGTATGCACATAAACACTTCTCTCAAAAAACAAATTACATGACCTTCTCTTTTTTCTAAAAGATTGACTTCCAACATAGTTTGATAATTGGATTACAAGAGGAGAACAGGATTGAAATCCTGACTCAGCCATGAAAGCCCACTGGGTAACCTTGGACAAGCTCCAGAAAACCCGTAACAGGTTCACCTTAGGGTTGCCATACATTAGAAAGGTTGCCTTGAAAGACCGCCTTCTTCCCATTCTGTGGTCAGGGAGAAGGCTGTTTTTGCTCCATCTCTATTCCCAGCTTTTGCAATGCAATTCATCACATAGTAATTGAGGATTCTTGTTTTTCCCCTTTCTTGTATTTCAGGCACTCACTGGCTTTCCGAAATCATAATGCACCTCTATGCATCCGAAGTGGCTTTGACGTTACCAATTGAATTTGGAGATGTTTCCAGACTGGAACAACTGAACCACCTTTCATGCAAGAGGATCATTCCAACCCACTTGGATGGTAACATGTTGCCCCCCAACTTTTGGCACAAGCGATCCAAGGTTAGATGTACAGCTCCTATTTCATTTCTGCATAAACTCTTGAGAGCCAATTTCCATCAATGGCTGACGGGGCTGACATAACTGAATATTGCAAATGCAATCAGAATATTAAGTCCCCATAGTAGTTTTAACAACAATAAAGAAAATTATGAAATGCATTTAACATATGTATACGGACCCAAAAGTTCCAATGAGATACCAGTGAGGGATTTGATATTAGATTTTTTTCTGCTTATACTGCTCAAAAGTATTGCAATATTTGGATGTGACCTTACAAATATACAAAATAGATGCCAATGCAATCTAGATGTTGCGCTGCAAACCCCTTTGTTTCCTTCTAAATACAAAGCCAGTGAAGTGTAGTGGTTCACTGTGTTGGACCATAACTCTGGAGATCAGGCTCAGCCATGGAAACCCACTGGGTGACTTTGAACAAGTCACACTCTCTCAGGTTTAGAAGTCAGCAAAGGATGCTGGTGCCTCACCAAAATGCACATTCCATGACTCCATAGCCATGAGCAATAGCCATTGAAGTTGTGTCAAACTGCATTAATTCTACATTGCAGATGCACTCTGGGTAAACAATCTCTGATGCTCCAGATGTTTCAGAATATCAAAACCCTGCTCTACTTCACTTCCTGACAATGCTGCCTATGGCTGAGTGGAGCAGTGGTACATCACCAGTATAATTCACCCTCCTTGCATAGCTAGTCACGAGAAAGCTAATTTAATAGTCTGATTCATTATGAGGCTGTTCAAGGCATTCCTTCTTCTATTTTCAGGCAATTTACCTCATCAGAAATCCAAAGGATATTGCTGTTTCCATGTACCATTACTATAGAGCGAATCCAAATCTGCCCACCATTGATTCCTGGCCTCATTTCCTTGAGATGTTCTTACAAGGAGATGGTAAGACTTACTTGGAGGAGACATTAAACTCTTGAGTCCTAGTTACAAAAACGAAATGGTTTTTTTAGTCCCTTGGGTGTCCCAATTTCTGATTACAAGCTTTAAATCAGTGCTTAGAGGGCGAAAGCAAACTTCTTTTGATCACAGCTCTCAGAGTCTGCCAATGTCAATGCTGGCTGAGAAATTCTGGAAGTTATGTTATCCTAAAATAAGCTTTTTATAGTGGGCTGTAAACTGAGAACAAAAGGACTTTGGTTGTCCAGGTGTCCAGAAAGTTTGGCCAACCACTCTCACAGATGTTGGAGGTTATGGAGAATGGGATGCTCTAAATCATTTGGGATAATAAAGCAAAGTTACTCTTGCATACCTTTCAAGTCAGCTATGACTTATGAAGGTAAATTTCAGGCAAAATGGGCATGATCAAAAACAAAGATGACAAGGACCTAACAGAAGCTGAAGAGATCAAGAGAAGGTGGCGAGACTATGCAGAAGATCTGTATAGGAAAGATATTGTATAGGAAAGATCTGTATAGGAAAGATATCTGTATGGAAAAGATATTGACGATACCTTTAATAGTGTGGTGAGTGAATTAGAACCAGACATCATGAGGAGTGAGGTTGAATGGGCCTTAAGAAATATTGCTAATAACAAGGCAGCAGGAGATGACGGGATCCCGACTGGACTGTTTAAAATCTTGAAAGATGATGTTGTCAAGGTGTTGCATGCCATTTGCCAGCAAATATGGAAAACACAAGAATGGCCATCAGATTGGAAAAAATCAACTTATATCCCCATACCAAAAAAAGAGAAATGCTAAAGAATGCTCAAACTTTCATACAGTGACACTTATTTCACATGCCAATAAGGTAATGCTCAAGATCCTGCAAGGTAGACTCTAGCAATACATGGAGAGAGAGTGGCCATATGTGCAAGCTGGGTTTAGAAAAGGCAGAAGAACGAGAGACCCAATTGCCAATATCCGCTGGATAATGGAGAAAGGCAGGGAGTTTCAGAAAAACATCTATTTCTGTTTTACTGACTATTCTAAAGCCTTTGACTGTGTAGGTCATAATAAATTATGGCTTCTTGGTGGTATGGGGTTCCCAAGACATCTTGTCTGTCTCCTGAGGAATCTGTATAACAACCAAGTAGCAACAGTAAGAACAGACCACAGACAACATGTTGGTTCAATACTGGGAAAGGAGTAGAGACATCACACTGGCAACCACGGTCCGAATAGTTAAAGCAATGGTATTCCCCATAGTAACCTATGGATGTGAGAGCTGGACCATAAGGAAGGCTGAGCGAAGGAAGATAGTTGGTTTTGAACTGTGATGTTGGAGGAAAATTTGCCTTAACCTTCCTCCCAGGATGAGAGTATGTTAGGTAGGCCAGAATCCCTTGTTGAAAACATTTAGGAGCTCTTTAGCTAGCAAGAATTGGGAGGTGGGAGAAAACAGCAAAAGTATCTCATCCCATTTCAAAGATGGCTTTCGTGTCATCATGAATTTGCTCTGGGTTTTAGTTCAAACTTTAGTCTGAAGAAGCTATCTAAATACTGTTTTGGAAATAGGATCCATCACTTTCAAAGTTCAGGTTGCAATCAGTGAAGATTCACCATTGTACTTACATCACAATGAGCAGACACTTCTTGTTCTTGTGTGCCTTCAAGTAGTTTTTGACAAGGTTTCCTGAGCTGAGAGTGTGTCACTCATCCAAGGTTTCCTAGTGATTTTCCATGGCCAAGCTGACAACTGAACCTTGGTCCCCAGAGTCATAATCTCACACTCCCATCACACTCCCATGCTGCCACCAGCACAGCCTTCTAAATCCATAAAAGGTTTGGACTTTTATCTCTAGACCACTGATTTGCCTTTTCTACCCAGCCAGCTTTGTATCCATGTTGGTGATCTTGGATTATTAAATCGAAGTCCTAAAGCCTATAGGTTCACTTTTATTGCAGCAGCTTTAGCTCATTGCTGAGGTCCAAAGAGGGAAGGGTCTGCCTCCAATTATCTAAATATCATCCAAACTGATTTATTGCCCAGCTGTAAAATATGGAAATAGCAATCCAAAGATCAACAGAGCAACAACCACTGTCAATAACCAGAGGGGGAAACGTGACATAAAGGCAATTAGTAATATTGGTTGCTTTTATTAATTGCTTTCAAGTTAACTCTGACTTATGGAAAGATTTCCTAACGTTTTCTTGGCAAGCTTTGTTCAGAGGACATTTGGAGTTGCCTTAGACTGAGAGACCACAATTTGCTCAACGTTTTAATGGCCAAACAAGGATTCAAACCCTAGTCTTTCAGACCAAGACACAGATAGAGTCGCCAGGCTAGATATGGAATGAGGCTTTGGTGACAATTGTGAATGGATAGCTAAAGCGAGGTACCATCCAGTTGGAGGAATCTGGGCAAATCCACATATCTTTTCCTTCTTTCCAGCCACAGCCATTCTCAAGAGCAACGGAAGCCGAGTTGGGCGCTTCCCTGCTCCTTCCCCCACTCTCTGTCTTTATCTGACTTCACAGAGTTTTATAGTCCTTCATTTACACCATATTGGCTTTGTACTTGTAAGATAATGTTAGTGTAAGATAATGAAAGAACGATCATTGCACTGTGACCTTAGCTGCCTTTCTTTTCTTCCCTTCCTTTCATCCATCATGACTAGTTGCCAGTAAGACACAGTAATCACCTGGTTAATCCTAACTAGAAAAGATACATTTAATCAATTGTTGAGCGGTGAATTAATCAAAATTCATGGCTCTATCTAAAGGTCCTTCCAGACAGGCCCTGTAACTCAGGATCTGATCCCTGGTTTTCTTGGTATCCCAGACTAGCTTGGGGACCCAGTGGTGCCCGGGGTTATTTGAGAAACGCATTGTTTGTTTTTCGAAGTTTGATAATATCAGTTTGGTAATGTATAACACTACTTATTAGAAAAAGCGAGTCTTTACTTTTGTTTTTTTGAATGCTGCCATTAGAAAATGCATAAGGATGTATGTGAACTACAATTCCCAGAATTGTCAGTCAAACCTTCCCAAACCCTGCCATTTTTCAAAGTTGGCCATGTTGGGTCTGTGTGCCAAAGTTTGGTCCAGATCCAATATCAGCTGGGTTCAGTGCTCTCTGGATAAGGATGAACTACAACTTCTAGATTCCCAGGGCAATCACCTGCAAACCCTGCCACGATCAATTCCTCTGTGTTTGCCGTGTGCCATAGGACAGGGTAGGAAAGGGTTAAGGAGAGACAGTGTGTGGGGTCATGCATATTCCACACAGGGAACCCTGGGATGCCTGCCTGTGGTAGAGGAAACATGTCAAATCTAGGATGAAACTGCCCCTGAATTAAAGCATTCCTTAGGTGGTGGGCAGTATGGTGCTTGTGGATGACATTGGCAGCGTTTGGGCTACATGTTCCTGGCGCTCGCTATAATCTTCAATGTCAGTTGAGGGAGTGCCATTGGAAGCTTCTCAGCACTTGGAGGCCGGAGCTTGTCTGTGTAAAGTGGATACTTCTGCCACATTCACATTTTTCACTTTTATTATATGTACAGATTATCTGGTAGTGTAGACTCATATAAACCAGCTTAAATCAGAAAACCTGGGATCAGATCCTTGGATTAGGACCTGTCTGGAAGGGCTCCTAGTCATTAGGTTTTGACCTTAATCTTCTGAGGTCAGTGGGACCAGCTGTAAGGACAACTGCTCTGGCCAATCTGTTTTGGTTGGGAAATAAAGGTCAGCACTCAAGAGAACAGTACATGCCTTTCATACAAGAAGTTACAGCTTCATCCCCTATACAGAAACAACCCTCTTATCTGGGGAGATACATCATGAATGTATCATGGAAATAGGAAATTGTGCACAATAGCAAATCCTATTGAAATGGATGACTTCTGCCAGAAGTTATCATAGACTCACCCTGGATGACCCAGAAAATTCTTAAGAGAGTTGTTGTTGTTGTTGTTGTTGTTATTATTATTATTATTATTATTATTATTATTATTACTACTACTACTAGCTGTCCCCTGCCATACATTACTGTGACCCAGTCTGTGTATATGTGTTTTGTTTGTGTATATATGTGTGTGTATATTTGTGTATATGTGTGTTTGCGTATGTATGTGTGTATGTGTGTGTGTGTGTGTATGTGTGTGTGTGTACCATATATATCTTACCATATATATGGTTTTCTGCATGTGTTCTAATGAGGCTTTTTTTGCTTTTTAAGTCTTTTTTGCTGTGTTTTTCAGTGTTTTTATGAGTGATGGTCACTTGTTGGTCAGTTAGGGGTATAGTGTCCAAATTTGGTGTCAATTCGTCTAGTGGTTTTTGAGTTAAGTCCAGTGGTTTTTGAGTTAAGTTAATCCCACAAACAAACAAACATTACATTTTTATTTATATAGATTAGTGCAGCGGGTTAAACTGCTAAGCTGCAGAACTTGCTGACCGAAAAGGTCGGTAGTTCAAATCCATGGGGCGGGGTAAGCCCCATTGTTAGTCCCAACTTCTGCCAACTTAGCAGTTTGAAAACATGCAAACGTGAGTAGATCAATAGATACCACTTCAACAGGAAGGCAACGGCAGTCCATGCAGTTATGCTGGCCACATGACCTTGGTGGCGTCTACGGACAACACCAGCTCCTTGGCTTGGAAATGGAGATGAGCACCAACTCTCAAAATCAGACACAACTAGACTTAATGTCAAGGGGAAACTTTTACCTTTACTTTTTTAGGTTCTCAAGGGTGATTCCTTCAAGAGAAGCATTCCATAGAATCGCTTGAAGGACCTAGAACATTCAGAGAGAACATATTTTATTATATGCGGATAAGTGGAACTGCTGCTACTAGTCCTACATATATAGGGGTCATACACTATCTCTTCATAGGGCTGAAAAAGACTTCTTGTTGGCAACCTTGAAGTCAGTGTTGGCAGTCCTGAGTCCTGACCAACAATCATGAATCAACACACATAGAAAACTATGTTCTAAGCACCTGTATGAAATTACATCTCTTCAAAGGTTTTTATCAGGTTTTCTTGCTCCAGTGCTCTAAGTGATAAGAGTAGAATGTTAACTAGAAAATGGAGATGAATGGCAAGAGTCACATAAGTGTTTTTCTTTGTTTGTCAAAATCTCTCCACAGTTGTCTGCGGATCCTGGTTTGAGCATGTTTTAAGCTGGGAGAAACACAGAAATGACAAAAACACACTGTTCTTGTACTACGAAGACATGAAAAAAGTAAGCATAAGTTGTTGAAAAATACTTTTTTGAAATGTAACAGCAAAAAACCAGTGAAAACTAATCAAGCCCTTAAATTGCGTTGAAGCCACCATACTATATAATATGAAATGGTAATCATTCCACAGTGCTGTGTGTGTGTTTCACTTACAGAATTATCCTCATAATAACCTTGAGAGATTAAAACCTAATGTTACCCAGACAGGTATGAGGCTGAGCTGGAATTTGAACTGTTTTTTTCTGGCCAAAGTGTACAAAATATTCTTTTTCCTTGCAACAAATAGCTCATGGAAGGAACCCAATGGCCATACCAAGGCACTATAATATGGTGTAAAAGGTGATGTTTCTTATCAGCCCTGCAGACCTTCAGACAGTGAGAATGAACCCTGCACCATCTCCATAGCATCACCTACCTAACCTCAGCTCTATATCCTCACACTGTGTTTCTTTCTTGTTTCTGAGAGTGTGGGAGCTGGCCTTTGCAAAATATGATGATTACCATCACAGTGTGGTTGTTAGAAGTGCTCCTGGCTTATCGTGAGAAATGTCAAAGAATGCTAAGCAATTATTACATAAAATTCAAGAATGGAGAACGTAAACTCTCACCCTCTCAATCTCTCCTCAAGCTTTAAAATAGTTTCAACACATTGGGTAATTTCCTTTAATTTCAGACTCAATATAGGAATGGATTTTCATCTCAGTATGGAAGCCACCCATTGCCATTACTATAACAATGAGTTGTGTAGTGCCTTTTGGGCATTAAAGCAGTTTTAGAGTGTAAGATAGCACTTTGAACATAGCACTTCAAAATCCCATGCAGGGCCAGTGCAGCCTTCCAGCCCTTGGATTGATGAATGATATATAATGGAAATAAGCATCCTCTAGTGCCCAAGTTTGGGTACCACATTTTCCTTTATGGTGACATATACATGGTCAACTTGAAAGATTCCTTTCATGTTCCAATGGAGTTTAGTCCCTAGTAGGTGGGATTGTCAATCTTGGGCCTTTCCACAATTCAGGCTTGAATCATCTAGTCATCTCCCAAGAGTGAGCAGTCGAGTGCCAGCCAAAAGCAGGGGTTCTTATTTTATTTATTTATTATTTATTTATTTAGCAGTTTTGTATAACAGTCTTCTCACCTCCGTTCGAGGGACTCAGGCCGGTTTCAACATCAATATTACAGACAGTCATTAAAACATCATATTCTAAATCACACTAAAACATTAAAATAGCAAAATACAATAATATAATTACAGTGGTCAGTCGTCATCAAAAATTATTATTCGTCGTCATCCATCCATATCACAGGATCATGGCTCATTCGTTGAATGCCAATCCCCAAAGCCAAGTTTTCACCTGTTTCCTGAACGTTAAGATAGAAGAGGCAGTTCTGATCTCCAGTGGAAGGGAGTTCCAGAGTCAAGGGGCCACCACCGAGAAGGCCCTGTCTCTCGTCCCCACCAGCCGTGCCGGTGAGGCCGGTGGGATCGAGAGCAGGGCCCCTCCAGACGATCTTAGCAATCTTGATGGTTCATAGGGGAGGATACGTTCGGACAGGTAAATTGGGCCGGAGTCATTTAGAGCTTTATAGGTTAAGACCAGCACTTTGAATTGTGCTCGGAAGCTGACTGGCAGCCAGTGGAGCTGGCGCAACAGAGGAGTAGTATGCTCCCTGTACCCCGCTCCCATTAGTAGTCTGGCTGCTGCACGTTGGACTAATTGAAGCTTCCGGTCAGTCTTCAGAGGCAACCCCACGTAGAGAGCGTTCCAGTAATCTAAATGGGATGTAACCAAAGCATGGACCACCGTGGCCAAGTCAGACTTCCCAAGGAACGGGTGCAGCTGGCACACAAGTTTTAATTGTGCAAAAGCTCCCCTGACCACCGCTGAAACCTGGGGCTCCAGGCTCAGCGATGAGTCCAGGATCATTCCCAGGTTGCGAACCTGCTCCTTCAGGGGGAGTGTGACCCCGTCAAGCACAGGCTGTAACCCTATGCCCTGTTCGGCCTTTTGCGTGACCAGGGGTCCAGTCACCATTCCTTGGCAGTCTGCCACTCACTGATGGAGGAGGGCTGGATGCATCATCTTTTAGTGCCCTGTTTGCCATTGTTGTTGTTGTTGTTTATTTATACCCACCTTTCCTCTCCACAAGGACACTCAAAGCAGCTACTGCAGAACCTCATCCCTTTTAAGATGTGGTTCGGGGACATTTATGGTTATGGATAGGGTGCTATGACCGAAAATACAAACAGGAAATACAATCGACCACCTACTTTCATGAGGGTAGGGGAGCACAACATTTGTGAAAGAAGGCAAAACATAAATTAAAAACAACTAATTTTTTTCTTACCTGAGAAAACATTTCCCTAGGTCCTCCAGCAAGTCTCTATAGTCAACTTCCATTGTACTGGATGAGTACAGATGCCAAGAGAAGTATTTTCTCTAGCAATCTCTAGATCTTCCAGCATGACTTCATGGTCAAGTTCTGATGGAAGTTGACCATGGAATCACATTGGATAACCTAAAGCAATGGTTCCCAATTCTTTTCAACTATGGAACTCTTCAGAAGACATTTATTTTATGTAGAATGCTAACTCTATCCCTGATTTATTTGATCAAAGCATATATTCTGAAGACCCCCATATCCATTTTCGCATGCCTCCTGAAAACAGGCAGATAGCCGGATAGCCGTTTTTGTCCACACCTGAAAAATACGGCTAGATCCAGCCCATTGGCGGAAACAAGGAACTTATGAGGCTCCTCCTTTTGTTTCTGAAAACCTTTCCTTTTTCCCTTCAAGGGAGCCTGAGATTCAGCTACAAGGTGAAGGAAGCATCCTTCCTGGAACACTTTCCTTTTTTTGTCTTCAAGGTAGCCTGGATTTCAGCAACAGAATTAAGGAAGCACACATAGTTTGCGTCAAACACATCATTCTTCTATTCCGATTGACCCAACAGGCAGGGCTCACAGGGAAACCCCATGCGAGGAGGGGAACCTAGCAAAAACCTCTTTACTCACCACGTGCTCCCGAAAAGGAGAGGGAGAGCTATGATCGGCTGCCATATGGTCTTGTTACGGATGGGAAACTGTGATGGCTGTGGCCTTGCTGTTACGGCTATCTGACCAAGCCGAAGAAGCTGGATTGGTCAAAGGAAAATGGCTAAAAGAGATCCATGCACAATGTATTATTTATTTAAAACTTTTATATCCCGATCTTCTCTACCTCCGTAGAGGGACTCAGACCAGCTAATAGCAAGAATTCAATGCTAAACAGTAAAAATCTAAAAACAACATATAACAACAATAAATATAAAATAAATACACAAAAGCTGTTCGCAAAGATAAAAACATGTCCAACTCAGTCCATATGTTCAGTCCATGTATTGTGGTCAATACTTTGGTCGATTATCGGTCTCTCCCATCATTCTGCAAAGGCATCGTTCCACAGCCAGGTTTTCACTAGCTTCCTAAAGGTCAGGAGGGATGGGGCAGAACTAATTTCCTTCGGGAGGGAATTTCATAGCCGGGGGGGGGGCACCACAGAAAAGTCCCTGTCTCTCATCTCCACCAGACGCGATTGCGAAGGTTGCGGGACCGAGAGCAGGGCTTCTCCAGATGATCTTAATGCTCTTGATGGTTCATAGGGGAGAATACGTTCGGACAGGTAAACTGAGCCGGAACCGTATAGGGTTTTGTAGGTTAAAACCAGCACTTTGAATTGTGCCCGGAAGCTAATTGGCAGCCAAACCTAGTACCTAGTACAAACCTAGTAGTTACAACCTTAGAAGTCTAACTTACAGCATTGTAGTTAACAGAATGTCAGCCATAGCCTTGTCCAGTCTGCAGTTAAAACTATGAAGGTTGCACAGTCCCCAGCCAGTTCGTAAGAGGTCATGTCCTCCTTTGTTCATCCATCCCAGGATCTCCCTGCAGTTGTGAAGAGAGTCAGTGCCTTCCTAGGTGTCAACATCAATGAGAGCGGGATTCGCGAGATCTGTGAAAAGTCTTCATTCAGTGAAATGAAAACCAACACGGAGAAGGAAAACCATGATCCCAACCATACCGTTTGTGCACTTACATCTAACCGGAAGCTGATCTTCCGAAAAGGTAAGTTGTTGCTGCCTTTTCACGTACTTACTTCAACTAAATGACCAAGGCCTAATCTACAATATATCCTTATTCTTCCAATACAGGTATATATTTGCATATTCAAATACAATTCGTTTTCCCATCATTTCACCCTATAACTGATACAAAATTAGTGTTCTCTGGACAAGGCTTTTGACTTGCTCTCAGTTAACCGGGACCATAGCCTACTTCTTTATCTGGCTTTTCTTATCTTTTCTGTCAGCTCACTTATAGTACACCTCGTCCTGTAAGGCAAAGTTGCTGGGCTTATCTGAAACTAAATACAGGCCAGACACATTTCTTTCTATGAGTCAGCAGTTCATCTTATCTGTGTGTTTCTTCTGAAACAAAGAGAACAAGGTGGCATGCCGGTCCATTAGAAACAGGTGAAAGGGTTCAGCAGATATGAGCCTGAAGCTATGAGGAAAACCATTTGGAGGTAGAAGTTATCTTTTCCAGATTGCTGCCATCAAGACAACTTCAAACTCATGACAAGCCTATGAATGAGAGACCTCCAAGTTCTCCTAGCCTCGATTCCCTGCTTAGGCCTTTTAGACTTTCAGGGATGTGACTTCCTTGAGGCAAATCATCTGGAATGTGGTCTACTTTGCTTACTGTTTTCCACCTTCCCAACCATTACTTTTATGTCATGTCATCTCATCATATTGCCCAAGTATGACAACCTCAGTTTAGTAACCTTTGGCTTCTAGAGAGAGTCCAGGTCTTATGTGCTCTATGGTTCATTTGACTTTGGATCTGTAATTGGTTAAGCGAACGAACCCAGAGGATGCTCAACAAAGCTTCCTCTTCATCCTGGAAGGAAGTGATGAGTGGAGTACCATCAACAGAGTTCCGTCCTGGGCCCGGTCTTGTTCAACATCTTTATCAATGACTTAGATGAAAGGTTAGAAGGCATGATCATCAAGTTTGCAGTCGACACCAAATTGGGAGGGAGAGCCAATACTCCAGAAGGCAGGAGCAGTATTCAAAACTATCTGAACAGATTAGAGATGTGGGCCAAAACTAACAAAATGAAGTTCAACAGTGACAAATGCAAGATACTCCACTTTGGCAGAAAAAATGAAATGCAAGGATACAGACTGGGGGACACATGGCTTGAGAGCAGTACGTGTGAAAAAGATCTTGGAGTCCTTGTGGACAACAAGTTAAACATGAGCCAACAATGTCATGCAGTGGCAAAAAAAAAAAAAAGCCCATGGGATTTTGGCCCTGCATAAATAGGAGCCTAGTGTCTAGATCCAGGAAAGTCATGCTTCCCCTCTATTCCGCTTTGGTTAGACCACATCTGGAATACTGTGTCTATTTCTGGGTACTGCAATTGAAGGGAAATGTTGAGAAGCTGGAATGTGTCCAGAGGAGGGCGACAAAAAATGACCAAGGGTCTGGAGAACAAGCCCTATGAGGAGCAGCTTAAAGAGCTGAGCATGATTAGCCTTCAGAAGAGAAGGCTGAGAGAAGACATGATGAGGGTCATGTATAAATATGTGAGGGGCAGTCACAGGGAGGAGGGAGCAAGCTCGTTTTTTGCTGCCCTGGAGACTAGGATACGGAACATTGGCTTTAAACTACAAGAAAGGAGATTCCGCCTGAACAGTAGGAAGAACTTCCTGATTGTCAGAGCTGTTGAGCAGGGGAACTCTCTGCCCCAGAGCGTGATGGAGGCTCCTTCTTTGGAGGTTTTTAAGCTGAGGCTGGATGGCCCACGAGGTCTCTTCCAACTCTATGATTCTATGACTTCTTATCAATTCACATTACCCTCAAAACTCACCTCAAATAAGTGCTTTTTAAACTCTATCAGCCTTTTTCACTATCCAGCTTTCACAACTATACATCTAATTGGGAAATACAATGGCATGGACCATCCTAACTTAAGTATTCAGCAATATATCTTCATACTTCAGAATCTCATCTAGTTCCTTCATAGCTGCCCTTCCAAGTTCTAGTCTTCTGGCTTCTTGACTTTTGTCTCCACAATGATCAATGACCAAACCAAAGTATGAGAGTGAACTCGTAGTTTAGATATTTCCATACCGATATATCCAAGTTCAACCTGTGGCATCTCTAAATAAATGGTGCTCAGGTCACCCAGTTGAGAACACAACGATCCCTCAAATAGCAGCCAGTTGAATACAATTTGTTGGATCCAAGAAGGCTTGCTCCACTTTCCTTGCTAGTTCATCCTGAAAGTTTGTCCTTTTCCATGGGGATGTGGTAGCTGGTGAATCACATATTAGAAGAGTGGTAAATATACTCTGGGTTTTAATCTGAACTTCAGAGGGTCTACCAAGGAAATTGAACAGATCCAGTATAGAGTTTAGAAAAGTTACTTTTTTGTAGTCCATTTGTGCTATTGTAGACCCATAACTCTTTCTTCTCTCCCCTCCATCCTCAATTATTTTTTTAGGTGCAGTTGGTGACTGGAAAAACAATTTCACTCCCAAACAGAACCGGATGTTTGAAGAGAAATTTAACAAGAAAATGGCCTTCAGTGAAGTGGCAAAACATCTCGTTTATGAATGCTGATTTGAAGGCAGAGCTGGTGACTGTACAGAAAGAAGTATATTTGCCCTACGTTGGTAGATATCCAAAAGGGTTGCTGCTTCGCTAATATGACTCTAAAAGAGAATATAGAATATGCACAAATGGGACCTGTAATAAAATTGATTTTAATGGTGATTGTGTGATTAATAAACAGCTTTTTACATTATGAATATCTGTCGAGTTATTTGGAATTATTCTGAAACATGAACGTGGGATGCCTGAGTCTTATTTAGTCCCAAAGAGAGCAGACCCAATAAAACAATGGAATGAGCAATTCATTCAGTGGATCTGCTTTAGTTAAAGCCACCATGATTCGGGGACATGGTTGTTTTCTCAGAGGCCAGAATGTTGCTTTCTGGACTACAGCTCCCCAAATTCCAACTAGCGTAGTCACTGCCCAGTGTTGGCTGAGGGATACTGGGAGGTGTAATCCAAAAAGTACATTTCCCAAGCTCTGCTTTTGGTACTTGAAGTACACAAATCAAATAGAACATTATCTATCCAGGGAACAATCCAGATCCTAGAAATGGATCTGTCCCATTGTTAATTCCACTGCACAGAATTTAGAAGGAAAGCCAAGTTAAATAGCAGGTCTCTATGTTCTCCAGAATGACTCTATGCTCTACTTCTGCTGGAAGCTGTCTGTAGAACAATGGATTATCTATCAATCAATCGATCGATCTATCTTTCTATTTATTGTATTTATATACTGCTTTTCTCACTCCTGCAGGGACTCAAAGCGGTTCACAACACAATCCTTAGTAAAATTCAATGCCTTACACATATAAAACATCACATATCAAATTGACCATATAAAGCAATAGATTAAAACCATTAAAACTATAAACAGCAATCAAAAATACAACCAAGATATTCCAACATTTGACACAACTGTCATGTTATTGATTTGCTTCTTCAAATGATTTTAAGGTGGCATAAATGTCTCATCCCTATACCTCTAGGACAGTGTTTCTCAACCTGGGGGTCGGGACCCCTGGGGGGGGGGGGTCACGAGAGGATGTCAGAGGGGTTGCCAAAGACCATCAGAAAACACAGTATTTTCTGTTGGTCATGAGGGTTCTGTGTGGGAAGTTTGGCGCAACTCTCTCATTGGTGGGGTTCAAAATGCTTTTTGATTGTAAGTGAACTATAAATCCCAGCAACTACAACTCCCAAATGTCAAGGTCTATTTTCCCCCAAACTCCACCAAGTGTTCACATTTGGGCAAATCAAGTATTTGTGCCAAGTTTGGTCCAGATCCATCATTGTTTGAGTTCATCGTGCTCTCTGGATGAACTACAACTCTAAAACTTAAGGTAAATGCCCACCAAACCCTTCCATTATTTTTTCTTCGTCATGGGAGTTCTATGTGCCATCACTGGTGGAATTCAGAATGCTCTTTGATTGTAGGGTGAACTATAAATCCCAGCAACTACAACTCCCAAATGACAAAAATCAATCCCCCCCCCCCCCAACCTCACTGGTATTCAAATTTGAGCATATGGGGTATATGTGCCAAATTTGGTCTGGTGAATGAAAATAATCCTGCATATCAGAGATTTACATGACAAATCATAACAGTAGTTACAGTTATGAAGTAGTAACAAACATAATGCTAAGGCTGGGGGTCACCACATCATGAGGAACTGTATTAAGGGGTCGCGGCATTAGGAAGGTTGAGAAACACTGCTCTAGGAGGTAGCTACGGCTGGAAAAAAGCGGTGGGTCCAAGACTATTGAACAAATTTAATGTCTCTGGTAACCTCAAGATGATTCTCACAAATTCCAATAGAACACTCCACATTTTCATTCTTGTAGAGCTGAATCACAAAATGTTTACTGCGATAGGATTCAGATTACTAACCACAAAGTGTTTAGCAGTGTTGCTATGTTAATTACCTGGTATATGCATTTGAATTTATAAAAAAACACACAAAGTTCTTTATTTTTAAAAATAAAAAAGCTTTATTATAATTTATTTTCACCACCAATATCTACATAATCCACAAAGCAAATCAGTAAAAAAAACACCCTCTTCTTTCACAGTAGATGTCCTTCATTTAATAGTCCCTAGGAATCTGCATAGGCAATTTCTTGTTGAGTGGCTGTGAGTATCGCCATGTTCCAGAAGCATTTTCTCCTCACATTTCACCCACATCTATGGCAAGCATCATCAAAGGTTGTGAGGTCTTTTGGAAACTAGACAAGTGGGGTTTATGTATCTGTGGAATGTTCAGAGTGGGAGAAAGAACTCTTGTCTGCTTGAGACAGGTGTGAATGTCGCTATTGGCCACCTTGATTAGCATTAAATGGCCTTGCAGCTTCAAAGCCTGGATGCTTCCTTCCTAGATGAATCCTTTGTTGGGAGGTGTTATCTGGCCATAGATGTCGGCGAAACATCAGGAGAGAATGCTTCTGGAACATGACCATACAGCCCAGAAAACTCACAGCAAACCAATGATTCCAGCCATGAACGCTTTCGACAACAATTTCTTATTGATTTTTCTGCTGGTTTAACCAGATGATAATTCATTCCCAAGATTTAAGTGCGGAGTAATCAAGCTGATTAAGTACTGATTTCTGTCTCCCTCTTGCCCCCAATACCCATGTTTACAGCCATTCTGGTTTATATAAGGATGCCCCAAATATATTGAAAAACCTGAATGTTAGAAGCAAAATAAAACCAAACGAAACTGATTGCATAGTGAGAACTGAAATCAACAGAGGACTCTACGTGTTTGGAGAATTCTGGCCTTAGCACCTTCCACAATGTGTTCATCTTCTATAGAGAGAGAATTCCATCACATGAGCTTGTTGTGTACTTTCAAGTTGTTCCTGACCTACAGCAACTCTAAGGTCATGTTTTCTGGGCAAATGTCTTCAGAGTATACACAGCTGAGAGTATATGACTGGCCCAAGATAACCCAATGGGTTTCATGGCTGAGTGAGGAACTGAACCCTGGTCTCCAGAATTGTATTCCAACTCTCAAATGACTACACTGCTTTGAACCTCAGAAAGCCATCCATCTGTACTCCAAACAAGTGAGAAAAAAACTACACAAGAGTCCCAAAGCATATTGTAAACAAAACAAAAAAAATAAAATACAATCGATATTCACCGCAACTTAAAACAAATACGAAAACAGAAGAACTATAGGAGTTATCAGATAAATTAGGCATTCACCAGAAGCATTAAATATGGAACAAGTGTCAGTTCCTTTTGGTAAAGTTCCAGCACAGTACCAAACAGTCATAACATTAAGACTGAAAAACTCCATGGTGCCTATGTGGTCCTAGAGAAAGGTAGCTTGTGGCCCTCAACATGTTTTTGGATTGATTCCTATGACCCTTCATCACTGAGCCCCCACTGGCGCAATGGGTTAAACCCTTGTACTGGCAGGACTGAAGACTGACAGGAGAGTACGGATGAGCTCCCTCTGTCAGCTCCAGCTCTCCATGCGGGGACATGAGAGAAGCCTCCCACAAGGATGGTAAAACATCAAAACATCCGGGCGACCTTTGGGCAACATCATTCCAGACGGCCAATTCTCTCAAACCAGAAGCGACTTGCAGATTCTCCAGTCACTCCTAACACAGAAAAAAAATCACTAATGTTTGCTAAGGCTGATGGGAGTTGCAATCCAAAAACTGGACAGCTGCAGATTGCCAATCCCAGACTAGTACTTCTGTGTTATCTCCACCATCCATATTCAGCGAGCAGCAAGTGACAAACACTGGGAATACTGGGGTTTGACTCACTACAAAGCACTACAAAGCAACTGTCATATATCCATTCTCAGTGCACAAATAGGAACTAAATGCTAGACAACATTAAATACAGTCAATTTGTTAGGGAACACGCAGGGAGTGTGGATCCAGCTTACTATTTCAGAACAGTATGTGGACCTCAACCCTACGCCTGTAGTGGTAACATGTCAATACAACCTTCCAGGTATACAAGTCCTGAATACGCAGCAGATAGCGTACATCTCAAATATATTTTAAAACACATGTGGGAACCATTTGGCTTCCAAACATTTGGGCTTTGATAGTTTGGAAAATTGACTTTTCTGGAATTTTTGTGTGTGTCAGGAGCGACCTGACAAACTGCAAGTCGCTTCTGGTGTGAAAGAATTGGCTGTCTGCAAGGACATTGCCTAAGGGATGCTCGGATGTTTTACCATCCTGTGGGAGGCTTCTCTTACCATCCTGTGGGAGGCTTCCTGTATGGGAAGCTGGAGCTGACAGACGGGAGCTCACCCTGCTCCCCGGATTTGAACTGCAGACCTTTCAGTCAGCAGTGCTCCGAGCACACGGGTTTAACCCATTGCGCCACCAGGGGCTCCACTTTCCTGGATTATAATGTCCTTTATCTATCAGGCAATGATATCCACATCACTGGACTATGCTGGATGGGACTTCCAGGAGTTGGCACATCTCTGGAAGGTCTAGAGCTCCCTTTACCTTACACACTAAGTGACACATACAGATCTATCCTCTTGTTTGGTTTAGCCTTGAGAAACTCCTAAATTTTCAGTTGGGATTGACTATCTGAATTCTTTCTCACACTTGCTTCAACAGCTCTCTGCTGCCACCCTCCTGAACTGAACAAATAGCATGTCTGGGAAAAGTGCATTTTGTTTCCTATTTGGAAGAAAAGCTCTTTCAGAATTCTAACATTCAGGATTCTAACATTCAGCCCTCACCCCAATGTTACACTCCAAGGGGAAATATTCAATGATTGCCCATTGCACGAACAGGCTCGAAAATCAGAGCGAAAAGACAGGTTAAGCCAGAAAGTAGAACATCAAATTTGAAGACAAAAGACGGTGAAGAATCCATGGAACAACCAGGACTAACAGCAGCTCTTCAGAATCTCAGGCAGAGCTTTTCAGAATTCACCAGCCAGCATAGGCATATGTGTTAGATCAGTGGTTCTCAACCTGTGGGTCCCCAGGTGTTTTGGCCTGCAACTCCCAGAAATCCCAGCCAGTTTACCAGCTATTAGGATTTCTGGGAGTTGAAGGCCAAAACATCTGGGGACCCACAGGTTGAGAACCACTGTGTTAGATTTTTTTTTTTTTGTCGTGTCAGGAGCGACTTGAGAAACTGCAAGTCGCTTCTGGTGTGAGAGAACTGACCGTCTGCAACTATGTTAGATGATTGTGAATGATGCAGCTCAAACTGGGGAAATATCCACATTCTGGTGGGTTATTTCACATCACCAATTCCCTGATTCTTTTAACTTAAAGGCAGTAAAGTGGAAGCCTAAATCACACCTCCCATCTTCCCCAACTACAATGGTTAGGACCAGAGTCGCAAAATTATGTAAAAATCATACAATCACCAATCTTACTTATGCCAAGACAGAACCTGGGACCTTTTGCATGCAAAACATGTGTTCTGTCACTAAGCAATGACGTTACCCATCATGAAAGTAAGAATGAGATTCAGACTCTTTGCAATCTTGGGGAATGCTTAAGACATAACCCGATGCAAATGCACAATTCCTGAAATGCCATTGTACTACTGCTTTGTGGAAGAGAGAAGACCGTTCTCTTCAATTCCTTGCATCATAGCATTGTCTCCTTGGCAGAACAACTGTTCCTAAAAAAACAAAATGTCTGAAACCTCCAAGGAAAGGGATGGACATTGATGCTACCAATATTTCAGTAGGACTCTACTGAACAAGGCTGGCTGTGAACACCAGCAAAGATCTGGCAAAGGACGTTTGACTATTTGGTTCAAGTGCCTGAAAATGGATGCTTGAAATAATTCCTGGCATTGCCCCTTGGCTTCCCAAAATGTTTATAAAAAAGGCATGAGTAAACAAAGCGACCAAAAGAATGGAATCAAATGACTTCTTTCCCCAGCTTCAGGCCTTTAACATCATGGCTTCTTTCCGGATGAGTTCACCTTTTCCATCAGGAGAAATATGTGCTCGGCAAACTCTCGGATGGCGCCACGGCCCCCATTGCATTTGCAGATGTAGCTCGTGGCTTTCTGTGCAGCCGCGCAACCGTCGGCGGGAACAGCGCTCATGCCGGCTTTCTTCAGGCACTCCACGTCGGACTCTTCATTTCCTACAAGGAGAGAGATGTCACGACACATTCAGTCAAGGCTATTTTTTAAAACAGAAAAAGCACATAGCCAGCAGACAACTAAAAGCTCAACCATTTACTTGTTAAGCACTGTGTTGCATTTAAAAGTATTAGCAGCAAAAGGCAAGAAAAGAAACCTAGAAACAACACGGGTGCAGGACATTTTGTGCAGGAGAACGTCACGGCACCCTGGATTGCATTTAATCAACACTACATGAATATAATCCTTTGTTACCATTTCAACTGCCCTTGGATCCTGGGATTTGAAGTTTGAATTCTATGCAGCTCATTTCAATGTTGTATACAGTTCAGGGGAACAAGACTAGAGAATTCTAAGCACCACACCAACCTAAAAATCCCTGGATTTTATAGGATGAACCCATGCCAGTTAAAGCACTATCAAGTTGCAACAACTGTGCATTGGGTTGTTGTAGGTTTTTCCAGGCTATATGGCCATGTTCTGGAGGCAATTTTTCTCCTGACATTTCGCCTGCAACTATGGCAAGCATCCTTAGAGGTAGTGAGGTCTTTTGGAACTGTGCATTGTTAGATATCCAACTTGGGTTCTGCATGCACTTATTTACTTGGAAGTATTTGCAAACTATTTACATCAAAAGCATAACAATATTCAAACATACCTCCCAAGACAATACATACTGATACAATCTACATCTAGATACATCATAAAAGTGAAAAGATGTGTGTGTATGGCAAGGGTGTCCACTTACACAGACAAGCTCCTGCCTCCACAAACAGCTATTGTTCCTACTACTCAGGAGACACCAACACTGCAGGTTATAGTGAACATCACAAACATGTACAAGAGCTTTGCCAATGTCCTCCACAAACACCATACTGCCCACAACAACGTGAATGCTTTCATTCAGGGACAATTTCCTCCTAGATTTTACGTGTTTCTTCAACAACAGACATCCCAATGTTTCTTGCTCTATCCATTGTTGTGGAATTTGCATGCTCCTGTCCACTGCCTCTCTCTTAACCCTTTTCTACTATTTTCAACTCTATCTGTACAACAAACTGAGCAGAACTAATCAGCAGCTAAACATACTGGAGGATTTTGAGGGATTGACTCCACATGATGGAAGTTGTAGTTTACCCTGCATCAAGTCAGAGTATTGTGACCCTCACTGACAAGGCACCTGGACCACATTTGGCACACAGAACCCCGATGACCTAAGAAAAATACTGGAGAGGTTTGGGGGGAATTCAGCTTGATTTATACCCATTGGTAGGTACTAGGATTTACAGTTCACCTGCAATCAAAGAGCACTCTGGACACCACCAACAATGGCCCTGGACCAAATTTGGCACACAGAACCCTCATTGGTCAACTGAAAATATAGGAGGGATTTGGGGGCAACTGACCTTCCTTTCTGTAAGTTGTAGTTCACTTACATGCAGAGACACGGTGGCCATCACCGATGACAGATCTGGACCAAACTTAGCACATAGAACCCCCGTGACCAACTGAACCTACTGGAGAGGTTTGAGGGGACTGACTCACCATAGTTGGAGTTGGAGTTTACCCTACAGTCAGAGATCACACTGAGCCCCACCAATGATGCATCTAGAGCAAACTTGCCTAATATGACAAAGTTTAAGTACTGATGGAGTTTCAGGGTTTTAACCTGGCATGATGTGAATTGTAGCTCACCCACAACCTTATGCATTTTGCACAATCAAAAAAATAACTTTTTCAAATAACCCGGGGAATGCTGGGTACCCAAACTAGTTATATATAAATCTAAGATAGTCTGAGCAAATTTGCAACAACTAGTATGTCTTCAACATACACTTCTACATTTTGGATACACTTTTGTGTACTATTTGTATAAGACCTCTCTTTTTTCCCATATCTGTCAAAAAGCCACCCCCTGATGATCTTAAAACTCATGTTGGATTTTCTAGGGAATTTCCACACAGTCTGGGCCCAAGATGGGAATTCATAAAGAACAGAATGAATAAAGAATGAAAATTGGCTTCCGTTTAGGAAAGTAGAAAGAGGACAACCTAACCTAAGTATGCCACTTCCTTCCAGCACAACCCCATTTCCTTCCTCCATTCCTCTACAACTTGAAGCTTGTCTGTCACGCTGACTTCCACAACACAACCCAGCGTCACGGCAGAAAGCATTTTTGATGAGCATTTCCTCTCGGAGATCATCCGCACCTGGAAAAAAAAACCCAAAGCGAAATCACATAAAGCAAACATCTACTGAACATGACCTAGTAGGGCAGAAGAGTTCCTATGGGAAAAAAAAGAGAGCCCAGATGATGATATACTGAAAATGTCTTTCCCTATCATGTAAGAGAGTGCCATCATCAAGGACTGGTTAACCGAAGCAACTATGAAATTGTAGAGCTGGTTGACAATGATAGGCAAATTCTTGAATGGGGGATCGAATCCCAGTGTCACATTGAATTGAGGCATGCTGCATTATCACAGGGTGTCTACACCCTACACCACTGGAGAAATTACACTGCTTAATAATAATAATAAATTATAATAAACTTTATTTATACCCTGCCACCATCTCCCCGATGGGGAGTCAGATCGTCTTACATGAGGCCAAGCCCAAAAAACAAATTACAGCAGAATAAAACCGAAAATGCAAACCAAAAACACAGACAATAAACAACATCTTAATTACATAAAACATGTGAATGCATCACGATATTAAACTACAATAAATACAATCACAGTGACAATGGGTGGGCTACATGTAATGATTAAAATAAAAACTAATTACAAATTAATTAAAAACTCGGGTGAAATAAAGGAGAAGCAGGTTGTTTAGCCGGTATTGCACCACCTGATATCCACCAGGAAATAGCAATCAATAGTGAAAGGACCAAGGCAGTTACATCTCCAGCCTATCCCCTGTTCGGATATCAGCCAGCATGCCAATGACTTAAATCTTAGTTTTCTAAGATCTACAGAGACACTCTCTGGAACACCTCAGCAAGCGAGAGTCCAAAAGTGGCAGGCTCAAACCCAGAACCTCAATCAATGGCTGATACCAAATGAGAGACTCCCTCCTGGGCGACCTCGAAGGCACTAAACAGACTGCGCTCTGGCACCATGAGATGCAGAGCCAACCTTGAGAAATGGAACTACAAAGTGGAGTCCACAACATGCGAGTGTGGAGAAGAGCAGACCACAGACCACCTGCTGCAATGCAGTCTGAGACCTGCCATATGCACAATGGAGGATGTTCTTATAGCAACACCGGAGGCCAAATGTCAAAGGACATTTAATATTTAATATAATGCCAAGTTTTCAAACTTTGTGGGTTTAAAAAAAACAAACACAATGCAATTGTTTGGTTCGCTCCTGATACGAAAAATAAGTAAATAAATACATTGTTGATGTTGTGTGCCTTCAAGTTTTTTTTCTTCTAGATTTTAGAGGAGATAACTTTTGAAAGAAACTCTTAATCAGCCTTTCTCAACTGACTCTCCTTCTGGTTACTTGGATACAACCCCTTCATGCTAATCAGCTGCGGAAAGTATGAGTATTAATCCAATACATTTGGAAGGCTCCACAACTGGAGAAGCTGGTGCATGCTGCAGCTAATCTTCTATCACATGACTCCTGTTAAGCTCCTCAGAAGCACAACTGATGCCTTGTATCTGGAGGAGATACATCCCAGGACTTGTGAAACTGTGGATAATAGCAAATTCACTGAACAAATGACTTCTGGCAGAAGCATGCTGAAAAGTCACACTGCAGTTCCTAAGAAATGCCTCAAAGGACATTGACCTTTTGCTGTTGATATTGACTCGAGTATAAGTGGAGGGTGGGAAATGCAGCAGCTACTGGTAAATTTCAAAATAAAAATAGATACCAATACAATTACATTAACTGAGGCATCAGAAGGTTAAAAACCATTCTTTTTACATGGTTTTTATAATATGTGTTAAACGTTTTAATTTTGTTTTTATGATCGTTGTGGCATTGAATTGTGTCAGTGTAAGCCGACTCAAGTCGCCTTCAGGCTGAGAGGGGTGGCATGGAAATGCAGTAAATAATAAATAAATAAGTAAATAAGTAAATAAATAAATGTTTTTGAATATTTACATAAAACTGTAATTTAAGTCTGTTCAACTTTGATTAATACATTATTCTAACCTTCTTCAGAGTAAATGTGCTTACGTATCCTTCCAATAATAATAGAGTAAAATAAGAAATGTAATAAATGTAATAATAATAGAGTAAAATAAGAAATATAATAAAAATAATAATAGAGTAAAATAATGTAAATGCAATAATAATAAATACAGTAAAATAATAATGTAATAATGATAATAATAGAGTAAAATAATGTAAGTGCAACAACAACAACAACAACAACAATAAATACAGTAAAAGAATAAATGTAATAAAATTGTAAGAGTAAAATAATAAATAAATTTGTAGGTTCTTGTGGGTTTTTTCGGGCTATAGAGCCATGTTCTAGAGGCATTTCTCCTGACGTTTCGCCTGCATCTATGGCAAGCATCCTCAGAGGTTGAGAAGGTCTGTTGGAAGTAGGAAAAATGGGCTTATATATCTGTGGAATGGCTGGGGTGGGGCAAGGAGCTCTTCCCTGCTGCAGTTAGGTGTGAATGTTTAGCTGATCACCTTCACATTCACACCTAACTGCAGCAGGGAAGAGCTCCTTGCCCCACCCCAGCCATTCCACAGATATATAAGCCCATTTTTCCTACTTCCAACAGACCTTCTCAACCTCTGAGGATGCTTGCCATAGATGCAGGCGAAACGTCAGGAGAAATGCCTCTAGAACATGGCTCTATAGCCCGAAAAAACCCACAAGAACCTAGTGATTCCAGCCATGAAAGCCTTCGACAAATAAATTTGACTTGACTATAACTGAGGGGGCTTATTTAGCCTAAAAATGGGCTGAAAACTCCAGCTTATACTTGAGTATATATAGCAAATGATCCCCATCTTCCCCAGCTCCATCCCATTTGGACTACGGAGATAATAATGCCAATCTCCCATGCAAAATGTATGTATTAGAAACCAAAGCAATTCTAATACTACAGATGCTGAGTAGTAAATACCTGCATGTTTTATGGCAAAGCTTTCCAAACTGTGTGTCGGGACATGTTAGTGTGTCAGCTGCAGTGTGTAGGTGTGGCACACAAATGTAAAGAGTACATTTATGTGAACCAAGCCAATAAATTCTATATTTTTAAACATGTAAATGAAAAGTTTTCAGGAGATTTGTATCCCATACATTTTATTATTACAGTTTACATATGTGTCTGCATATCATATAAGGCAGTGGTTCTCAACCTGGGGTCCCCAGATGTTTTTGGCCTACAATTCCCAGAAATCCTAGCTAGTTTACCAGCTGTTAGGATTTCTGGGAGTTGAAGGCCAAAAACATCTGGGACCCAAGGTTGAAAACCACTGTGCTAAGGGGTGCTGCACTGTTTTACAAACTTGGGCCCCCCAGGTGTTTTGGACTTCAACTCTAACAATTCCTAATAGTCTACTGACTGTTAGGAATTGTGTGAGTTGAAGTTCAAAACACCTGGAGGGCCAAAGTTTGCTCATGCCTGGGCTAAACTAACCCCTTATATCAGTGGTTCTCAACCTGGGGTCCCCAGATGCCTGGGGTCCCCAGATGCCTGGTTTAGCCTTTGGTTTGGTCATGGTTTAGCCTTTGGTTTGGTCATGTCACCAACACAAAATGTTTGGGGAGCTCTGTTTTATTTATTTTTTTATTTTAAATTTTTATATCTTGAACTTCTCACCTCCGTAGAGGGACTCAGACCAGCTTACAGCAAGGATTCAATGCTACTAATACAAGTTAAAACATCATACAACAATACAAGATTAAAATACATATAGATAAAATCCATAACCTTTTCCGCTTCTGCTAAATATAAGAAAGGGCTACTAGCCAATAAGGGCAACGAAGGCTTGCCAAGCCCTTCAGAATGCTCTTTGATTGTAGGTGAACTATAAAACCCTGCAACTACAACTCCCAAATGACAAAATCAATCCTCCCCCAACCCCATCAGTATTCAAATTTGTGCATATCGGGTATTTGTGTCAAATTTGGTTCAGTGAATGAAAATACATCCTGAATATCAGATATTTGCAATACGATTCATAACAGTAGCAAGATTACAGTTATGAAGTAGCAATGAAAAAAAATATGGTTGGTAGGGCTGGCGGTTTCGTTTCGTTAATTCGTAATTCGTTAATAATTCGTTAATTTTTTCAATTACAAAACGATAATGAACCATTCTGGAGCAATTTTTTAAAAAAACGAATTTTTAAATAGTTTTGTAAATGCGTCGTATTTCGTTATCGTATTCGTTTCGTTATTGTTTTGAGGTCGTTTCGTTATTATTTCCGCATGTCTGGGGCAAGTTTTATGGTTGTTTTTTGTTTAATTAGTGAAAAAAAATTATAATATCACACCAACAGTCAACAACAGAGGGAGAGGGAAGCTTCAGAAGTTTTTGGAGGTTTTTGGAGATTCGTTATTGTTTCGGAAATCGATTCGTTAATGTTTTGCAATTTTTTTCACATTTACGAAATTTCGTAAATATCGAACTTTTTAAAAGGAAAATTTTGTAATTATTTTAAATAACGAAACGCAAAAAACCCCAAAAAACAAATCGATTTTAGAAACAAATTTTTCCGTTGTTACCCAGGCCTAATGGTTGGGGATCACCACAACATGAGGAACTATATCAAAGGGTCACGGCATTAGGAAGGTTGAGAACCACTGCTGTAAATCATTCCAAAGCAACAGGTTAAAAAAGTACCTCAACGCCTCTTTTCTGAAGCAAGTTAATCCCCACAGCATCTCTGACATCATAGGAAACGATCTCCTTCTCATCTTCTGAAACATAGATGTGGCCAGTGGTGAGGCAACCATCAATAGTACAAACTAGCAGCTTCACCTCCTTCAGGGTCTCTTTACCAAAGTAGCCGTACCTGGAAACAAGGGCAGAGCAATTGTAGGTAAGGGTAGACAATGTGTTGAAAGTATTGTCGAAGGCTTTCATGGCCGGAATCACTGGGTTGTTGTAGGTTTTTTCGGGCTATATGGCCATGTTCTAGAGGCATTCTCTCCTGACGTTTCGCCTGCATCTATGGCAAGCATCCTCAGAGGTAGTGAGGTCTGTTGGAACTAGGAAAATGGGTTTATATATCTGTGGAAAGACCAGGGTGGGACAAAGAACTCTTGTCTGCTGGAGCTAGGTGTGAAGTTTCAACTGACCACCTTGATTAGCATTTGATAGCCTGGCAGTGCCTGGAGCAATCTTAGTTGGAAGAGATTCCAAGGAGCATCCCATCCAAACCCCTTCTGACATGCAACACAATTAAATAACTCCTGGCAGATGGCCATCCAGCCTCTGTTTAAAAACTGCCAAAGCTGACTCTACCACACTCACAAGCAGCACATTTCACTATCAAACAGCTCTAATTGTCACACATTTCTTCGTGATGTTTAGGTGGAATCCCTTTTTCCTGCTGTTTATTTACTTCATTTATATCCCACTCTTCTCACCCCTCGGTGAACTCAGGGGAATACATCAACCATCTAGACAAACACTCAATGCCTCAATTATACATATTGTTAAAACATAACATAAAGTCACTAAAACGGTAGACATAAAATACAATTTAAATCAATTAAACATTTTAAACATGATAAATCCAATACATAAATAATGCATAGCACAAATCCTTAATCATAGTTCAGCTGCGGCATTTCTAACCGTGTCATGACAAGATGTTAAATTGCATTTCTGTCATTCACCAAACACTTGTATGAACAGCCAAGTTTCCACTTGTTTCCTAAATGCCAGGAGGGAGAGGACCAATCTGATCTCACGAGGAAGTTCCACAGCCGAGGGGCCACCACCAAGAAGGCCCTGTCTCTCATCCCCACCAATCGCACTTCTCTCTACCCTTTGGGTTTTGTTGGTCAACCAATTACACTATGTAACAATATTTGGAAAAAAACCGTTTCTGGCTTGAAAGTGTTATTTCCTGTTTAATTGTGCAGTACTTACTTTGAAAGTAGTTGCTCTATTCCAAAAACTTCATTTTTGTAGCTGCCACAAACTATGTTGAATTGGTTGCGACTCAAAGAGATATTATTCATTGAAAAACAAGAGCGAAATGTGCTGTAGGATGTCCCACAAAAACAAAGTTTCTGCAGTTTCATAAACTTTTCCCATGTTTTCATGATAGAACCAATTAGAAAGTGGCATTTATAACCCAGGAACAAAAATCATGTTGCATAGTGTTATCAATCCTAACAGCAGCATTGTCCAGTCCATGGAGGACTTTAAGATCATCTGGGGAGGCCCTGCTCTCGGTCCCGCCTTTGTCACAAGCCCATTTGGCGGGGACAAGAGACAGGGCCTTCTCAGTGGTGGCCCCTCGGCTATGGAACGCCCTCCCTAGGGAGATCAGATATGCTCCCTCCCTCTTGACGTTTCGGAGGCACGTTAAAATGTGGCTATTCGAGCAAGCGTTTACAAATACAGAGTAGCTAATATAGGAAATCGAATGACCTGACAATGGAACTGGACAATGCTTGAGAATAATGAGACGCTGATAATGTTGTTTTTACTGCTTTGGTGATGTTTTATATTGTTTAATGTTTTATCTATACCATGTTTTATGTATACTGATTTGTTGGAACCCACCTTGAGTCGCCGATTGGCTGAGAAAGGCGGCATACAAATACAGCAAATAAATAAATTTACCTGGTGGTTTTCATTAAACCACCACGTAAAGCAAAGGTATCACTATTTTAGTCTAAATGGACAATTTTGGAGGAATTTGGGGTCAACGTATAATTAATTCTCACAAGTGAATAAATTGGCACCGTGAAATTGCAAAAGGGAGAAACATCACAACAAAAAAGATAATTTGTTTTCGTTTTTACCTCAGGACCCTTTGCTCTGCAATTGGCCAGTCGATGTCAACATCTATATCCACGCTGTGCTCGGCTCGCATTTCGTAATAAGCCATTTTCCCACCCTAAGCAAAATTAGAAAGAACCATCAACTGTTTTGCTGAAACAAACAAACCAACGGATGATCTGGGCTGCTTAGCATGCAGTTGTTCCATATTCACCATCTATGGAGTACAAACAAGCATGGAAAATAGCAGGAAGGTGCACTCAGTCCCTGAGGAAGAAAAGTCGGAAATGTCTCATTGAGAGACAGCCGTGTTGAAGAAAACAGTTTGCTTAGTTATAGAAAACACTATCAAGTACTTAAGGATTTCAAACTAGGTTACAAAGGTAGAAAACATTGTGAACTATGTTCCCAAACATCTCAACACATTCTACTGATGTGATAACAGCTACAATAATGAAGTAAGCATGATGTGTACAATTTGCCTCTTAGGTTCTTGTGGGTTTTTTCGGGCTATATAGCCATGTTCTAGAGGCATTTTCTCCTGACGTTTTGCCTGCATCTATGGCAAGCAGCCTCAGAGGTAGTGAGGTCTGTTGGAATTAGGAAAATGGTTTTATATATCTGTGGAATGACTGGGGTGGGGCAAAGAGCTCTTCTCTGCTGGAGCTGGGTGTGAATGTTTCAATTGACCACCTTCATTAGCATTTGAAGGCCTGGCTGAGCCTGGGGGAATCTTTTGTTGAGAGGTCTTAAGATGTGCCTGGTTGTTTCCTCTCTGCTGTTTACAAATTACAACAGCATAAACCCATTTTCCTAATTCCAACAGACCTCACTACCTCTGAGGTTGCTTGCCATAGATGCAGGTGAAACGTCAGGAGAAAATGCCTCTAGAATATGGCCATATAGCCCGAAAAAACCCACAAGAACCTAGTGATTCCAGCCATGAAAGCCTTCGACAATAGTTTGCCTCTTATTGGCAACTGCATGACTATCTTAGCCTTTTGTGACTCAGCTGCTGCTTTTGTAACATTCTATATAAAGTTTATTTTATTGTTTATTTGGGGTGGGGCCCCAGGATCTGAAGGCAGGGTTTACCCAGCACTATACCATTAAATAGTAAAGAGTAAAGAGTAGAGACATCAGACTGGCAACAAAGATCCATTGCCTAGTCAAAGCCATGGTATTCCCTGTAGTAACCTACGGATGTGAGAGCTGGACCTTAGGGAAGGCTGAGCGAAGGAAGATCGATGCTTTTGAGCTGTGGTGTTGGAGGAAAGTTCTGAGAGTGCCTTGGACTGCGAGAAGATCCAACCAGTCCATCCTCCAGGAAATAAAGCCCGATTGCTCACTGGAGGGAAAGATACTAGAGACAAAGTTGAAGTACTTTGGCCACATCATGAGGAGACAGGAAAGCCTAGAGAAGACAATTATGCTGGGGAAAGTGGAAGGCAAAAGGAAGAGGGGCCGACCAAGGGCAAGATGGATGGATGGCATCCTTGAAGTGACTGGACTGACCTTGAAGGAGCTGGGGGTGGTAACGGCCGACAGGGAGCTCTGGCGTGGGCTGGTCCATGAGGTCACGAAGAGTCGGAGACGACTGAACGAATGAACAACATACCATTAAATAAACTGCTCATGTCAATCTACTATCATACTTCATTTAAACTGCAAAGAGCTTAAAATATTCTAATTCACCCCATTCTCCAGCAGCAGACAGCATCCCCCAATTCTCTGAGATGAAGGAAGGATGGGGTCACATTCCAGCATTAAGTGGGACAAAAGGCAGGGGCCAAAAATACCAGCATAATTTAGGTTAAAACTCTTTAAGCTTAAAGCCCAAGCATCTGACTTTAATGTTTAAGCTTAAAATGAAGGTTTTGGAGAGGAATTCCCCTCTCCCCAAGAAAACAGAGCAGACATCCCTCTTTTGGTCTCTCCCTGTATTACAAGATATGAAAGAGTTCTGAATGATAAAGGTATATCTTGGAGTCTCAAAAGTAGCTTAGATCTCCATGCCCAAACATATGAGGTTTTATAAAAACAGTAACTTAATGCCATCACCAACCTGCAAATACCCTTTTTCAATCAAGGCTCTTTTGGCAAAATAAAAGGACCCATTTTCAAACAACTCTCCATCCCAGTCCTGGCGCCGGGGACGTTTGGCCGGGTTCAGATTTTGTGGCACAGTCACTTCACACACTACACAAAAAGAGAGAGGGGGAATATGCTCTGAATTAATGAAGCGTAATGATGTTTTGCTGAAATCTTACAAGTCTTCCTGATCATTTTATTCCCCATGCTTTTTTTAATATCTACATGAAACTGCTGAGAGAGGTCATCGGGTATTTTGGAGTTTGGTGCCATCTGTACGCAGATGACACTCAACTCTACTACTCCTTTCCCCCGAAATCCAACGAAGCTCCCCGGATCTTGGACTAGTGCCTGTCTGCTGTGATGGACTTGATGACAGTTAACAAGCTGAAGCTTACTCAGACAAGACAAAGGTCCTCCTGGTCAGTCGTGGCGCAGATTGGGGTATAGGATGGCAACCTGTGCTTGATGGGGTTACACTTTTCCTTTTTTTTTTTAATATAATTTTTATTAGTTTTCACCAAGGTTTACAATAAAACATTCATTCATAAAAGAAAAATAATTCCACCACCACCAAAATAAAACAAAAAACAAAAACACAACAACAACTTTCCCCGATGAAACATAAACAAACCACAACCATCACCCTAGTGTGACTTCCATTCTTTCTACTTTCCCCATTACATTTTCTATCTTTCCCTTTCCCTCTTTCCCATTTCTTTCAGCTATGTTTTGTTATATATTAGGGAGGGAACTATATATATTCCTTCTAACTCTCTTGTTCAACTTAGTTTATCCAGTCTTTCCTTTCTATATATTCTTGTAAAACTTTCCAATCTGTTGATTTTGTACTTCTTCCATTATTTTGCCATAACCAATATGTTAATTCATCCATATCCTTAATATCTATATATTTTTTAATCCAATCCATTTTAGAAGGTATCTTATCCTGTTTCCACAATTTGGCTAGTACCATTCTTGCCGCCGTGGCAAAAAAGTGAATAATTTCTCCTTATTTTTGTCTTCAAATATGTCCGGGTCAAACATGCCCAACAGGTACATTTCTGGCATTAGTGGAAACTCTGTTTTTAATATTTTTTTGCATTCTATGTGGATCATTTTCCAGTATTTATTTATCTTTTCACACGACCACCACAGATGATAGAACGTTCCCTTTTGACTCTTACACTTCCAACACTTATTATCAACCTGTTTGTACATAATACTTAATTTTTGTGGTGTCATATACCACCTGTGTAGCATTTTCAACCAGTTTTCTTGCAGGTCCGATGCATGAGTGTATTTCAGTCTCTTTGTCCATATTTCTTCCCATTCTTTAAGTTGGATTGTTCTCCCAATATTTTTAGCCCATCAAATCATTGAGTCTTTTATCACTTCCCTTTTTGTCGCCCACTCTAATAGTTTACTATAAATTTTTGTAATTATATTTTTTTCCCCACTTTGTATTTTGTCCCAGAAGTCTTCTTTATCTCCAAATCCTTTTTTTATCTATATTATACACATCTTTCACTTGTCTATACTGAAACCACGATACAATTTTAAATTGTCCCATGATTTCCTCCTGTGTTTTCAGTTCGTAAGTATTCCCTTTTTTATATAGCAAATCCTTGTATGTCGGCCATCGTGTCCAACCCAAAAGTCTTCTTTGATTTGCCTCTAAAGGCGAAATCCATTGAGGGGTTTTTCCAAATAGGTAATTTTTATATTGTTCCCAAACTTTTATCAGCGACGATCTAATGAAATGATTTCCAAAGTTCTTTTCTTTTTGCGTCCCTTCATACCACATATATGAGTGCCATCCTTTTCTCAAATCAAAACCCTCCAATGTCAAAATTTTAATTTTAGATAATTTACTCCATTCTGTAATCCACATTAGGGCAGCTGCTTCATGATATAATTTCAAGTTCGGTAGGCCGAAGCCTCCTTTTTCCTTAGGGGTACTCATTATTGTTGCATTAATTCTTGGTTTTTTGTTTTTCCAAACAAATTTCATAATGTCCTTATTCCATTCTTTAAAGTATTTGTTGTTCCTTATTATGGGGAGATTTTGAAAAAGATAGAGCATTCTAGGTAGAATGTTCATTTTAACTGCAGCAATTCTCCCTAACATAGCTTCTCCCAACTCTCCATTTCTTTTTTGATTTCTTTCCATTTATTTATATAATTGTTTTCGAGCAATTGAAGATTTCTAGCCAATAACCAAATACCTAGTATTTAATTTTAGGTGATGTTTTAATACCTGCTATTTCTTGTAGCCTTTTTTGATTTTCCCGTGATATATTCTTGGTTAGCATCATTGTTTTAGTTTTATTTATTTTTAGGCCTGCCACTTCTCCATATTCTTCTAATTTTTGATCTTAAGCTTCGTGATGGTTCATAGCAGGAGATACGTTCAGACAGGTAATCTGGGCCAGAAACGTTCAGGACTTTAAAGGTTAAAGCCACCACTTTGAATTGTGCCTGGAAGCTAATCGGCTTCTGGAAGCCTGTGTGCCAGCTGCAACTGTACCTCGAGAAGCCGGACTTGGCCATGGTGGTCCATGCCTTAGTTACATCAAGATTGGATTACTGTAATACACTCTGTATGGGTGTATTGGTCTAAAAATCTGCAGCCAGGCTACTAACCGGAGCCAGCTATAGGGAGCACACAATGCCCCTACTAAAACAGCTCCGTTGGCTGCCGATAAGTTTCCGGTCCCAATTCTTGCCTATCTTCATGACCCCCCCCTCCCCCCATGAACCAATACGGGTTTTAAGATCTGCCGGGGTGGCCCTCCTCTCAGTCCTGCCTCGATCACAAGCATGGTTGGTGGGGACAAGGGAGAAGGCTTTCTCTGTGGTGGCCCCTGGCTTTGGAACTCCCTCCCCAGGGAGATTAGACAGGGCCCCACACTCTCCTCCTTTTGTAGGGACTTAAAGACATGGATCTTCAATCAAGCCTTTGAGAATATTTAGCCCTAGTTATGCTCTCTCTCCATTACTACAGCTAGCACTTATTTTATTCCAATATTTACAGCCTTGGTGCCAGTAATTTACTGACACAGTTAAAGGATAGTAGCTTGGTTGAGTCTGAATTGATGTTTTTATATGTGCATGTGTTCTGTTTTATTGTATTTTGTATTGTGTTCACTTTTATGTTGATTTTTACGCACTTTGTGCCGTCTGTAAACCGCACCGAGTCCCTTTGGGGAGATGGTGGCAGGATATAAGAATAGTTATTATTATTAAGTTATTATCTTTCAAAAGGGAGGGACAGCACACACCATTTCTAGCTTCATAACCATTAAAGCATAGTATTGCCTTCCCAAACATGTTAGATCTGTCTTCAATTCTGCTGTCTCTTGAGCTTGCAACACTTATAATCCAAAATTCCTTTCCTCCTCCACCCCTTTAAAACATAGTTATGTCTGGCATATCATGTTATAATTTTCACCTTGAACCTTAAAAGTCCCAAATGATTTTTACTTTATCCATTTTTAATTGGCTTATGTTCCCACTAGTTGCAATGATAGCAACAGATAGTAGTTATTGATATTATTCCATTAATAACCCAACCTTTTCCCAATATAAGCAGCAGTAAGCAGTTGGACACATGGATATCCCCTACCTCCTTTTTTGATTTCGCTCCACCTAAACTGGTGCCGCCTCACAACAGAGAAGACAGAGTCGAACCCATCCTCCTGGATCATTTTAACCACTTTGATTAGATCGGTGGGATGCAAACAGGGAGAGGTTGCTTGAATGTTTCCTATGACATCAACCTCTGGGGAAGAAAGGAGAACAAACAGAGGAAATAAAAACTATAAAATATACAATTGTGGGAGTTGAAGTCCAAAACACCTGGTAGGCTGAAGTTTGCCCATGGCTGGTCTAAAACATGTTGGCCAAAAGACACCCAAAGTAATGTTTAGAAGCTCTGCTTTTCAGTGCTTTCTTACACCGAAAATCGGTGTCTATAAATAAATTTCCTAACAACCCCCAGAATGACTATATTGACTCAAACCACACCGTCATGATACTGGAGGAATTCCACAATGGCGTCCATGGAGGTGGAGGAATCTTTGGACACTTCTGAGCTCCTTCGATGAACCTGAGCTCCAAACTGCTTGGCTACTTTCTCAATTTCATCATGGTCCGTGGAAACCCAAACACTGTTTGGAGACAACAACAACAAATAGCAGTCTTACAAACCAATAAGGACTAAGGCTGGTGCTTATTCAGGGACAAAAATAGAGAGATCTTGTAATCTAACAAATTGGAAGAAGAGGAATAATGATTCCGTGAGTCTAGATTCCTTTTTCACTACTAGCCATGGCAGCAGCAATGAGTTTGCTGACAATCTAATGACAAATCAGTCTTCTGTAAATTGAGATAACAGCTGACCCATCATGCATAGCAAATCTGTAAACAGCCCATCATGTTATTTCCAATTATACTATTAGGACCACAGAAGGTAGATTGATGCGATAGTAATTTCTACATCAAATAGAAGAACTGAATAAACGGGAAAGGCCAAGTAGGCTGATCCCATGAGTATTTACTTACTAAGAAGGGAGCCTCAGAAGAATATGTTTCTAAAAGGCCAGACGTAGCATTGTAACCTTAATAAGTCCAACAGAGAGGCTTTTATTGAAAACATAAACGATTAAGGCTGCAGGGTTTCAATGTTACTTCACTTCGGGTGCATCTACACTGCAGAATTAATGCAGTTTGACACCACTTTCGTTGCCATAACTTTAGCTGCTATCGGATTCTGAGAGCTGTAGTTTGGTGAGGCACCACAACTCTTTGGCAGAGAAGGCTAAAGACTTTGAGAAACTTCAGCTCCCAGGATTCCATAGCATTGAGCCATGGCAGTTCATTCATTTAACAGTGTAGATGGAACCATAATTTTTTACATCTAGCTCTCAAAGAGGTCTGAAAACCTCTCTTAATTTTGTCGTTGGTTATTTAGCTTGAGATTGCTGATTTTTTCTATGAAGTGGGCTGAGTCCTTGATGTAGTGTGTAGTGAGCCCAATATGGCTTTGTAACTGTGCAGCAAGGAATTTGGCTAAGTCGTATGTGGGGGATCCAGTGGCACTCACAATGGGTCTGAGTGGGGTGGAGTCCTTATGGATTTTTGGGAGTCCATAAAGCCTAGGTGGAAGGGCTTCCGATTTACATAGCTGTTGTTGTATGTCAAAGTTGATTGAGGAGTTCTTAGTCAGAGTGCTGGTTTTCCTGGTTATTTTGGAAGTTGGTTCTTGTTTAAGTTTTCTGTATATAGTAGGATCCAGGAGTTTTCTGACCTTCTCCTTGTATTGTTCTGTATCCATGATTACTGTGGCATTCCCCTTGTCTGCTGGGAGAATGATGATATCAGGATCTGAGATGAGGTCTCTGATGGCTTGTCTCTAACAACCACCATGTCAGACTACATAGAGAAGCCATTGAAATCCATAAGCATGTGGACAATCTCAACAGAAAGGAGGAAACAATGAAAATGAACAAAATCTGGCTACCAGTATTAAAAAACTCTAAAATTACAACAGCAAAACAACAGAGGGGAAACAATCAGGCACATCTAATCATCACTCAACAAAAGATTGCCCCAGGCACTGCCAGGCCATCAAATGCTAATCAAGGTGGTCAGTTGAAACATTCACACCCAGCTCCAACAGACAAGAGTTCTTTACCCCACCCTGGTCATTCCACAGATATATAAACCCACTTTCCTAGTTCCAATAGACCTCACTACCTCTGAAGATGCTTGCCATAGATGCAGGCGAAACATCAGGAGAAAATGCCTCTAGAACATGGCCATATAGCCCGAAAAAAACCTACAACAATCCAGTGATTCCGGCCATGAAAGCCTTCGACAATACAAATAAATTATACCAGGAGGACGGGGGAAATTTTGAGGGCCAGACAAATGGGCCTATTTATTATTTTATTTATTTACGGCATTTATATGCCACCCTTCTCACCCCGAAGGGGACACAGAGCAGCTTACAATATATATTTTCATACAATATATTATATTATTAGCATAGTACAATATCACTATATATTACTATATTGCACTGTACCATTATATTGTAATATTATTAGTAATATTACATGTAATGTAAATATATAATTATAATTATAATATTGAATTATTATTACTAGCATTACATGTCTGGCCCGCAGGCCTTAGTTTACCCGTGCCTGATAGATACACACACACATACACACACACACAGAGAGAGAGTATGCCATTGTATATTATAGGAATTGAGCATCTACAAATTTCAATATCCATGTATGTCCTGTAATCAAATCCAGCAAATACTAAGGGCCCACTGTATACTGGATAAAAAGGGAATAAAATGTGAGTAATATCTTCACAAATAATGAAGTCACTTCTGGGCATTCAGCCACCTATCTATCAACAAAAAAACAAAGCAAATACAGGACAATCCGGTTGTGAGAGCTTAAAACAGTGCAGTGGTTCTAAAATGACAAACGGTAATGGATTTGCAAATCCTGCAAAGAAAAGACAGAGGAACCACACCTGCTCTTAAAATAGTGCATTACTGAGTTATTATATATTGCTTTCGAGTCCTCCTGTATTTTCACTGAAAGGATAATAATAATTGACTTTGCTGCTATCTATAGAAGCACAAGCCCAATAAAGATAGCTATTACTTCTTTTTTTAAAAGGAACATAAAATAATAGAAATAATGTAAATAATAAAAAACAAAAAAAATTAAATGAAGTCAAAATGGGAAATGCATTTCTCTTTCATATACTTCTTATACACATAGCTTGAAGTACAAAATGATATATAAATAATAATATAAATAACAATAAATTAATATTATATTTTAAAATTATTCAAAATAATAAATAATCATAACAATGTACATAATAATGAATTAAAATAATATTTGAAACTTATTTAAAATAACAATAACAATAATGCATAGTGAGGTATCTTGGGAATCCAAACCCCAAATTCATTTGCCCTAAAGTCTAAAGGTAATTTTATAGATTATATATGCATGAAACAATGTTTGTGCACAGAGAGCACAGCTACCACTCTCTCAGCCATCTATGCCATTCTGGTGGGCACACTGTAACCTCAAATTCAAGTCTGGGGTTTGGATTTCCATGATATCTCACTATGCATTATTATTGTTGTTGTTATTATTATTATTATTATTTTAAATAAGACAGGGCCTTTTCTGTAGTGGCCCCCTGGCTATGAAACTCTCTCCTCAATGAGGTTAGGTCTGCCCCTCCCTCCTGACCTTCAGGAATAAACGGAAATCCTGGCTTTGGAACCAGGCATTCGCAGATTGATGGATTGAAAGACTAAGAGTTATTGGGCCACAATGTTTGGATTGAGTTGGATGATGTTTTTAACTCAGCAAACTGTCTTTTATATGTATTTTATAACTTATTTATTACTAGCCGTCCCCTGCCACGCGTTGCTGTGGCCCAGTCTGCATATATGTTTTGTGTGTGTATATGTGTGTCTGCATATATATGTGTGTCTGCATATATATGTGTGTTTGCATATATATAGAGAGGGGGGGTATTTATGTGTGCGCATATGTGTGTAGATGTGTTTATGTGTGTATATTTGTGTGTTTATATGTGTATATGTATATTGTGTATATGTGTATGCTTGTTTATATGCATATTTGTGTTTATATATGTGTGCATGTGTATATTTGTGTGTGCATGTATATATATATATATATACGTATGTGTATGAGTGTGTGTGTGTATGTATGTGTGTGTGTGTATATATATATATATATATGGTGTATTTTGGGGGTTTTAAGTCCATTCTGCTGTGGTATTTTTGGTTGTTTTTGTATTTTTAGGGGTGATGAACACTCATTGGACTGTTAGGTGTATTGTGTCAAAATATCGTGTCAATTCGTCCTGTGATTTCTGAGTTATGTTAATCCCACAAACGAACACTACATTTTTATTTATATAGATGTATGTTGTTTTTAAAATGTTATTTATTGTGTAGCATTGAATTTTTCCTGTTGTTAGCCGTTTGGAGTCCCTCATAAAAGTTCTATATTAAATAAATATGCATGAAATAATGTTTATATATATATAAATGCTCATGTCGTAATGAGTGGCTTAAAAACAAAAGAACCACTGGGCCAATACCCACCAAATTTGCCAACAAAACGTCTCACAACACAAGGAGTGACCATCCCTCAAAAATTATGATTTTACCATTTGGGAGTTGTAGTTGCTGGGATTTATAGTTCACTTACAACCAAGAGTATTCTGAACTCCATCAATGATGGAATTGAACCAAACTTGGCACACAGAACTCCCATGACCAACAGAAATTATTGGAAGGGTTTGGTGGGCATTGACTTTGAGTTTGGGAGTTGTAGTTCACCTACATCCAGAGAGCACTGTGGACTCAAACAATGATGGATCTGGACCAAACTTGGCACAAGCATTCAATACGGCCAAATATGAACACAGATGGAATTTGGGGGAAATAGACCTTGACATTTGAGAGTTGTAGTCACTGGGATTCACAGTTCACCTACAATCAAAGAGCATTCTGAACCCCACGAACGACAGAATCGGGGCAAACTTCCCACATAGAACCGCCATGACCAACAGAAAATACTTAAGGCCATCCAGTCCAACTCTCTTCACCAGGGCAAGAAACCGTAATCAAAGCCCTCCTGACAAAGAGCCATCCCGCCATAGATATAGATGAATAGATAGATGGATGGATGGATATATGGATGGATGGATGGATGGATGGATGGATGGATGGATGGATGGATAGATTGATAGATAGATGGATGGATAGATGGATGGATAGATATGGTTCACACAGAGAGAAATATAGTATCATAGTTTTGAAAGGGACCCTTCAAGAAGAACAATGATATGTTGCCTGTTCCAGGGTGGGCAAACCAGACACTCTCCACATCAACACTGTCAAATAAACAGCAAGAAATACTGTTTACCCATAGGTAAAGGTAAAGGTTGTCCCCTGACATTAAGTCCAGTCATGTCTGACTCTGGGGTGTGGTGCTCATCTCCATTTCTAAGCCGAAGAGCCAGCGTTGTCCGTAGACACCTCCAAGGTCATGTGGCCGGCATGACTGCATGGAGCGCCGTTACCGTCCTGCCGGAGCGGTACCTATTGATCTACTCACATTTGCATGTTTTCAAACTGCTAGGTTGGCAGAAGCTAGGGCTGACAGTGGAAGCTCACGCCGCTCCCCGGAATCGAACCTGCGACCTTTTGATCAACAAGCTCAGCAGCTCAGTGCTTTAACCCACTGCGCCACCGGGGGCTCCTAAGCAGAAAGAAATTACATATATTAGGAACCAACACTTTCTCATTACTTTATTTTCTAGACTGGGCCACAGCAACGCATGGCAGGGGACAGCTAATGGGTTTATATATCTGTGGAATGCCCAGGGTGGGACAAAGGACTCTTGTCTGCTGGAGCTAGGTGTCAATGTTTCAACTGACCACCTTGATTAGCATTTGATGGCCTGGCAGTTGTTTGGTGTGGCTTGCTGGTGCCTGGGGCAATCCTTTGTCAAGAGGGGATTAGAGGTTAATGTTTCAACTGACCACCTTGATTAGCATATAATGGCCTGACAGTGCCTGGAGCAAACTTTTGTTGAGAGGTGATTAGATGTCCTTGTTTGTTTCCTCTCTGTTGTTTTGCTGTAGTAATTTTAGAGTTTTTTTAATACTGGTAGCCAGATTTTGTTCATTTTCATGGTTTCTGCTATTTATACCATCCTGGTGGTCACACTGGAACCCCGAAGTCAAGCCTGGAAACAAAAGAACTCTACCCCTTTGAATCTGAGAGAGAGAGAGAGAAGGGTGGGGTGAAATTGACGCATGCGCACACCTCTGAAAGACGCCAGAGTCGAGGGCTGCCCTCAGCACCCAGCCAATCAGCGGGACCCCGGCGAGGGGCTTAATGTTCTTCAGCGGGATGCCTTTGCTGCCTCCGCGGGCCAGTATGAGCGCCGCCAGGTGCGAAGGCGGCCGCTCAGCGTCTCCCGACGGCCGGCACAAGGCAGGGGGAGGCATCGCAGCCGCAGCAGCCATGGCTCTCTGAGGGAAAACTGGAGACCTGGCACTCTTGAGCCACGCCCACCCACGCAGCGGTGACGCAATCACGCACCGCCGTGGCAGTGAGGGAAAACTTTACTCTCTGTCGCGCCCACTCACGCCGCGGTGACGTCATCACGCACAAGGAACGCCTAGACATACTTGGAGACGGATTTCTGCCTCAAAGCACCCTGGGACTAGTAGTTCGACTGGGAAGCCATTTTTGTGGACTTACAATGGGTTCTTGCAGTGATGTCTAATTCCAGCAGAGGGCTTCCTGCCCACACCTGAGGATGACCTATCTATCTATCTATCTATCTATCTATCTATCTATCTATCTATCTATCTATCTATCTATCTATCTATCTATCTATCTATCTATCTATCTATCTATCTATCTATCTATCTATCTATCTATCTATCTATGTATGTAAAAATGCTCTGTGCATAATGAGTACCTTAAAAACAAAAGAACCAATTAACGAAATCACACCAAATTTGGCAACAAAACGTCTCACTACACAAGGAGTGACCATCACTCAACAAATTATGATTTTGTCATTTGGGAGTTGTAGTTGCTGGGATTTATAGTTTACCTACAATCAAAGAGCATTCTGAACTCCACCAATGATGGAATTGGGCCAAACATGGCACACAGGACTTCCATGACCAACAGAACACACTAGAAGGGTTTGGTGAGCATTGACCTTGAGTTTGGGAGTTGTAGTTCACCTACATCCAGAGAGCACTGTAGATTCCAACAATGATGGATCTGGACCAAACTTGGCACAAGTAGTCAATACACCCAAATATGAACACAGATGGGGTTTAGGGGAAATAGACCTCGACATTTGGGAGTTGTACTTGCTGGGATTTATAGTTCACCTACAATCAAAGAGCATTCTGAACTCCCCCAATGATGGAATTGGGCCAAACTTAGCACACAGGGCTCTCATGACCAACAGAAAAAACTGGAAGGGTTTGGTGGACATTGACCTTGAGTTTGGGAATTATAGTTCACCCACATCCAGAGAGCACTGTGGACTCAAACAATGATGGATCTGGACCAAACTTGGCACAAATATTCCATATGCCCAAATATGAACACAGATGGAGTTTAAGGGAAATAGACCTTGACATTTGGGAGTTGTAGTTGCTGGGATTTATAGTTCATCTACAATCAAAGAACATTCTGAACTCCACCAATGATGGAATTCAACCAAACATGGCATACAGGACTTCCATGACCAACAGAATACACTGGAAGGGTTTGGTGGGCATTGACCTTGAGTTTGGGAGTTATAGTTCACCTACATCCAGAGAGCATTGTGGACTCAAGCAATGATGGATCTGGACCAAACTTGACACAAATATTCCATATGCCCAAATATGAACACAGATGGAGTTTGGAGGAAATAGACCTTGACATTTGGGATTTGTACTTACTGGGATTTATAGTTCACTACAATTAAAGACCAATCTGAAACCCACAAACGACAGAAATGGGGCAAACTTCCCACACAGAACCTCCATGACCAATAGAAAATACTTAAGGCCATCCAGTCCAACTCTCTTCACCAGGGCAAGAAAATGTAATCAGAGCCCTCCTGACAAAGAGCCATCCAGTCATAAATATAGATAGATAGATATGATTCTCTCTCACACACACAGATATAGTATCATAGATGTGAAAGAGACCCTTAAAGAAGGACTATGATATGTTGCATATTCCAGAGTAGGCAAACCAGACACTCTCCACATCAACACTGACAAAGAAACAACAAGAAATACTGTTTACCCACAAGCATAAAGGAATTACATATATTAGAAACCAACACTTTCTCGTTACTTTATTTTCCAGATCACCAGACTGGGCCACAGCAACGCGTGGCAAGGGACAGCTAGTATTATATATTCTTGCTGCTGCTGGAAAAAGGCAAAAATCTGTGTTTTTTTCAGTTAGGTTATCTTTTTTGTCATTTTTTGGTTACTATTTTGTCATGTTTCTCCCTCTAATCTCAACTCACCTGCTGATTTATGGTGATCCCTGAATTGCATAGGGAAGGGACACTCAAAATATGGTTTAAAACCCCCAAAGGAGACCCCACCACACTTTAAGGCAGTGCAATCCACTGTCAAACAACCCTTGCAGCCTGAAATTCCTTCCTAACATTCAGGTGGAATCTCTTTTCTTGTATTTCGAACCCATCCCTCTCCAATGCCAGAGATACAGCTTAATGGTGTAACATTAGAAAATGTTGATCATTTCTGCTACCCTGGCAGCCACCCCTCCACAAAGGTCAACATTGACACTGAGCTTTGCGAGTGCAGCTTTTTTACAAATGAAGCAGAGAGTGTTTGAGGATCGGGACATCCCTAGGGAGACCAAGGTGCTTGTTTATAAAGCTGTTGTCCTCCCAACCCTGCTCTACGCCTGCGAGACGTGGACTGTCTACAGACGTCACATGCAACTCCTGGAACGATTCCATCAGTGTTGCCTCTGGAAAATCCTGCAAATCTCTTGGGGAGACAAGCAGACAAATGTCAGCATGCCGGAAGAAGCAAAGACCACCAGCATTGAAGCGATGGTCCTCAGCCATCAACTCCGCTGGACCGGCCACGTTGTCCGGATGCCTGACCACCGTCTCCCAAAGCAGTTGCTCTACTCCGAACTCAAGAACGGAAAACAGAATTTTGGTGGGTAGGAAAAGAGATTTAAAGAAGGACTCAAAGCCAACCTTAAAAACTCTGGCATAGACACAGAACTGGGAAGCCCTGGCCCTTGAGTGCTCCAGCTGGAGGTCAGCTGTGACCAGCAGTGCTGTAGAATGTGAAGAGGCATGAATGGAGGGTGAAAGAGAGAAACGTGCCAAAAGGAAGGCGCATTAAGCCAACCCCAACCGGGACCTCCTTCCACCTGGAAATCAATGCCCTCCCTACAGGAGAAGATGCAGATCAAGAATAGGGCTCCACGGCCACCTACGGACCCACCGCCAGTACACTGATCTTGGGAGACTATCCTACTCGGACAATGAGAGATCACCTAAGTAAGTAACATTGACCCACATTGAACTGGATTTTACGGCAGTGTGGGCTCAGATTACCCAATTCAAAGAAAGCATAGTTTATCAGCCTTGATATTCTGGGGCCCCTTCCACACAGCTGAATAAAATCCCACATCTGCTTTGAAATGGAATATATGGCAGTGTGGACTCAGATAATCCAGTTCAAAGCAGATATTGTGGGATTTTCTGCCTTGATATTCTGGCTTGTATGGCTGTGTGGAAGGGTCCATAGTTGGTCCTCTACAAATCTCTAGGTCCTCCAATGTGACTAGAGATTTGAAACATTTTCAAAAGCAGATCTTTAGAAAAATTTAATCTTACAGACACATTTTTAGGCGCGTATCATTTTGTGACACAGAAATTCAGTTTGACTTGCAAATCAGACTTCATACCAACCCCTTATAAATTTTAATAACTAATACCGGTGTATAAATTGTAACAATTATATGATCTCTATATAATGGTCTGTATAATGACCAAGTAGCAACAGTAAGAACTGCCCATGGAACAACAGACTGGTTCAAGATTGGGAAAGGTGTATGGCAGGGTTGTATACTCTCACCCAACCTATTCAACTTGTATGCAGTACACATCATGCAATGTGTGGGGCTTGACAAATGCAAAGCTGGAGTTAAAATTTCTGGAAGAAACATTAACAACCTTAGATATGCAGATGATACCACTTTGATGGCCGAAAGTGAGGAGAAGCATTCTAATCAAGGTGAAAGAAGAAAGTGTAAAAGCTGGGTTGCAGTTAAAAATAATAAAAAAACAAGATTATGGCAACCTGACTGATTGATAATAAGACAATAAGAGATAAAGTCAGCAATAAAGAGCTGCACCAAAGAACCAGCGTACATGACGTGATCAATGAAATCTATGAGGCAAAAAAAAGATGGGCAGGGCATAGAGCATGAACCAAAGACAACCGATGGATATGCTGACTAACAAACTGGATACCAAGAGATCACAAGCGGCCCTTGGACAGACCTCATACAAAATGGCACAAACCAATGGTTAAGCTATCTGGCCAGAAATGGAAAATAAAAGCACAGGATTGTATATTTTGGCAAATGGTAGATTTGCATGAAGTCCAAAGGAGTGGATTGATGATGAATCGGATAGGATAGTATTAGCAAATTGGCCAACTCACATTTCGGTGCCTCAAATGTTACTCCTGCTTATAGATATATTTAACTTGCCGATTCCAAAAATGGCAGCAGTTCTCCCTATCAGCTGTAGTTTTTGAGATGCAGATCATATGCCATATATATACCAGTCTTGGTCTGCTTCTCCATAGAAAGCCATGATAACCTTATCTAAGAAACTAAAGCTGATGTGGTCTATATCCAATGCAATTTTCTGAACCAGCACCCCAAATAACTGCAGGAAGAGGCCTAAAAATTAAGACACCAAGAAAAAAATATATTATTATGCTATGTTATTATTACTAATAACAGAGACGCTTGAGATTTGCATGTTTGAGCATTGGACGCATACACACATTCATTGTCTCCTTGCTAGAATGCCAGAATGTAATATTGTGTTCTTCCTGGTCAATTCCTAGCCCTCTTAGTCTGTGATAAGCAGCCATTTTCACATCCTTGACCATCAAACAAGAAATAAAGAAAGTTTCTCCCTGCTTTTTTCTGAAATTCATGCTGTGATCCTACATCCATTATGGAAACATCTGGCTGATAATATTCCAACATCTGAATTCCCTTAAGTGCAGACTGAAGCTAACTTTGGCCATTTTCTTGAGGCACAATAATTACATAGATTATATTAAAACACGTAACAATGAATCATTGGGGCTAAGAAAATAATTGGAAGAGATAATATTCCTGGGAACTGTAGCTATTTCCCAATAAATAAGGGTGAGAAGAGATGGTCCATTATGGGAATATAAAATTAATATTTTTTTTTTTAAAAAAAAATATGATTTTGTAAAAAAAAAAACATGATTTACTGTTACTTAGAACTGCCAGTGTTT